TAGTAGCATAATTAATTATAGTAATTATCTAATAGTTACCGTTCGGTATAGTAGGTAGCCGTCCGATTAGATCTATTCCCTAATATTTAAATAGCTAAAGTCTTATAGATATTATTAGCTATAAAGCTTCGCGTTCGAGGCTCTTCCGTAATTCTTACGAGACTTAATAATTCGGATAAGTTCGCGTAACTTCTTCGATATTACGGCGTATCCCTAGCCACTACGCTCGTAGGCGAATAACTCTATTTAAGCCTAGGTAACTAAGATAGCTAAACTCCTAGTATAGGTATTTTACCTATTCTCTACGCTAATAGGGTTCTAAATAAGGCGCTTAAATCCTATCCCTATAGATAAAGGTTAATTAGCGAGTAACCGTTACTATATCCTAATTCGGATTCGAAAGCTCTTAATAGCTTAAGTTTCCTATATATTTTAGGATAGCTTTTATAGTAGGTTTTTTATCCGGAAGGGTATAATTTTCGAGATACTATTCCGTAGCTACTAACTACTTCTCCTTAGGAATACCTATAAATATATATATTATATTTAATAAAACGTTCTATATTAGTTAGGTCTCTAATAGATTAGCCGGGCTATCTCTTAGAAAATCTGGCCGCTAACTAATAGTATTAGGTATAATTACCTCCGAACTCTTATAGTATTAGATTTCTATATTATATTCCTAGAATTCGGCGACCTAACGAGCTAAGTGTTTACTATAGGTTATAATTATCTATAAATATTAAAGACTTATATAATCTATAATAATAGTTATTTTAGTGCCGTTCTCGATATAATAGTCCTATACGCGTAAAGCTTCTTTAATAGCTAATAGTTCTTTTTCCTAAACGGAGTAATTTAGCTCTATACCTTATAACTTTCTTTTATCGAAAGCTATTAGGTAAAAGCGTTTATTTATATCCGATTAAAGTAAAATTATATTAATAGCCTATTCTAATATATCTGTTTCGATCCGAAAAGGCTTATCGCGGTTCGGTTATTTTAGGATAGGCGCTTATATTAAAGCTTCTTTTAGTTATATAAAGGCACTTTCATAACTAATTATCTATTAAATAGGTCTGAACTTATCTTTCCGGATAGATATATTTAGTTCCTTTAATAGTCTATAGAGTAATATATATATTAAGACAAAGCCTTTAATAAAGCGTCGGTAATAGGTGGCTAGACCTAGAAACTAGCGAACTTCGTAGATATTATATAGTTAGGGCTATTCGCGTATAGCCGCGACCTTTTCTAATATAAGGCGAAGTTACCTATTTCTAATAATATATCTATAAAACTTAAATTCTTAGGTCGCGAACTAATACTTTTAGGGTTAAGTATATAGCTCTTACGCTTCTAGTAATAATAATACTTAGTTAATATAATTATAATATTCTTCTAAGCTATAAGAAAATATTAGGATATTATTAAGATATACGACTATATATTTACCTAAAAGTGGATAGAGGGTATTATTTATAATCGATTAGAAGATCGCGGGTATATTATATAGTCCGAATAGTATTACGAGCTATTTATATTTGCCCTAGGTAGTATTAAACGTAGTTTTTTAGATTAAATTCTCTGCTATACGGATCTATTAATATTTAGACGTAAGATTAATTTTTGATACTATTTTTACGGTTCCTACTATATCTAAAAGCTCCTAGATTTATAGTAATAGGTAACTATTCTTTACTAAAAGTCTATTTAGGGCCCGATAATTAATATATATACGCTATAAACCATTATATTTCTTTACGAATATTACCGGAAACCCTTAAGGACTACTTAATAGGCGAATAAGTCCTTAATTAATTAAATCTTGGACTTATTAGGTCTGTTCGTTTAATTTCTCGGATAATAAGGAATAAGTATTAATATTTACCGGATAGGTATCTTTAGTATCGATTTTATATATAATTAGACGTTCCGGAGGGAGGGATTTAGGTAGTTTCGCGCGGAATATCTTATTATATCTTAATAGGATTTCCTATATACGTAGGTCGGAATACCTTAGTGCCCCTAATATTTCCTTTTTCTCTCTTTTAGGAAGATCCTAAATAATAATAAATATTGGTTATAATTACTATTTCCGTATTATATATAAGTATTATTTAACGGAAATTAGATTTAATTAGGCGCTAATAGTTTATTATAGACTAAGGGTATTCGCGGATTAGGTAATATATATCCGCTTATAATCCTATATAGTTATAGTTCCCTTAACCTAGTTAATAATAGGGTTAATATTTCGTAAAAAGTCTTTTCTAAGAATAAAGTTAAAATCTAGGAAGTCTAAAATCTATATTTCTAGGATTCCTCGCTAGGATCTAATTATAACTAGAACCTTTAGTTTCGCCTATATACGGAGCTCTTCCCTATTTAGGAGCTTAACTATAATAGGGTTTATAGAGATTAGTGGCGGTAGGCTTTCTTTTAAGCGATTCGTAATATTTAGAGATATAAATATATATAATATATTATTATTAAGTAGAGCGGTCACGGTTAGAGATAAAGGAGTCTTTCTAAGTGAAATTAGGTAATAAAGGAGGGAATCGCTTAGGATATTTAAGGATATATCTAGATATTTTTTGCCACGATCTTTCCTAATTAGATTTAGATAGTTAAGTTCAAAGAGATCGGGCGTATAAGAAGCCTTATAGATATAAGTGGCTAGGGCTTCGTACGAAGACACCTATATTAGTTTTTTAACTAGCTTTTTTTATCCTTATTCTTATCTTTATTTTTCTTCTTTTTTAGGGCTAGGTAATTATATTTATAATATCCCTTTTTATTATAATTATAGTAGATAATAGTAGAAAGGTCTCGTACTTAGGTTAATATTATACTAAGATCTATCTTATCTAGGTCCGTATACTTAATCTATCTAGCTACTATTATATCTTATATAAATTTAATAAATCTTTAAATAATATCTTATAAGGCAGTAAGGCGATCTTATTCTTAATTCTTAGCCTAACGCTTCTTTAGATTTATATTTATACCCTTTTATAAGAATTAAATTAGGATTAGCTCGGGAATATCTATATTATAATCGTATATAGCCTATTATAGGTTAATTATATATTTATAGAATAAAGTTTACCCTTACCTTAAGTTCACGAACTTATCCTATCACTTTTTAGGTCTAAGATACTCCGAAAACTCGCGATTAATCTAATCCTTATAGGCTTATTAAGTAGTAATTTTATCGCTATATATTCCTATAACCTATTCCGTATATATACGCTAAGTTTCGGTAATATAGTCTAATAAATATCCGCTAATATAAATAATCTTAGAGCTTTTATCTAGCTCCGCACCCACGAAAGTAATAATTTCGTAAAAATAACGCTCGTAGTTACGTAGGTACTTTCGTATAATATCGGACTTAACTATACCCTAATAGACCTTAATAAGGCGGATATTTTTTAAGACTGCCTTCTAGATAGCCTTCTAAGCGCTATTAAGTTAGGATAATATCGAATAGCTAGCTTTAGAAGTATCCGGGGTATTAGCTAGTCTAATTTATACCTATTTAAGAATATCTACTAATTATTAGAGCGGATCTTCCTAAATATATATATATTTATATTCTATACGTTAAAGTTTGGCCTTACGGAGGTAAGTATTCTTAGCTAAAATATTCGTAGCCTATTTAATAAGTATTACCTAAATAGATAAGCTTTCTTCCGAGGCGGTTATCTAAGCTTAGTAAAATATCTACGCGCTATCCACTAATAGCGAATAGAGTATATACTTAGTATTCGGAGTTATTAGATATACGAACTATAAGTCTTAAGGGGCGTAATCGGATATAATTAGTCGGAATCGGTTATAAACGGTTAAGAACGTTAATATTTAAAGATATTTCTTATTAAGAATATTAATTTTCCCTAGGTTTTACTTTCTCTCTTAAGATAGGTCTTCTTTTAGAGCTAGGAAGAATATATATTTATCTTTTTTTCTATCTCTATAGATATATACGGATATAATAGGTATTAAATATAAGTTTCTCTGACTAATCTTTATTATTTATAGCCCTAATTAGTGGGTTATTTCGGTGCTAATCCTTCTAGTACGTAACTTCCTTATATTACTATTTTATAGGCGTATATATTTATATTCTTATAGATAGCGACCAAAATAAATCAGAGAGAACTTCGGATTCCTTTCGGTATCGCACGTAAGCGATCTTAATTAGTCGCTTAAGAAAGGATTATTTATAGGAATAGAGGTATATCTAAGGGTAATACTTCTGTTCCCGGTTAACCTTAGAAGGTTTAGCTAAGCAAGGATATTTTGCTAAATAAGATTTTGGAGGTAGGAAAGTGTATTCTATTTAGTACGTGTACGAAGGAGTAGATATATGGTAGCCGTGCGGACCAATACGGGTCCGTACGGCAGAAAAAGTTGGGTAACGTGACCGTTTCCCAGTAACAAGAAGGCCCTGTTATCACACTAAAATTATAGTGTATTTTTGGTAAAAGTTATTAATTAGGATTAAACTAAACTAGGCTTTCTTTATCAGACTTTTAATACACTAATTCAGTAGAATTATATATATTGAGAAGAATAAGCTTATTGTTATTAAAATATATTGTTACATTTACTATAGTGTTTTGGGGTGCGTCACTCGCTTATATGCGTCACTCGTTTACCGACCACGTTAAGTTCAGTACCCTTACGGCGGAATGGCAAACGCTCCAGAAACTCCAGAAGAAAGGCTTTCGGTGGTCTCCAAAACCCCTTGGGTGCTGCCTGACCTCTGACAACCCGATGGAGCACCCTTTCCTTGTTCTGACTTGGGGTGAGGGTTCGATACCTCACTGGGACGACATCTCCCCATAGCGACATCTGCGTGATGAATTTCTTAGCCAACTGGCTATGATCCAAATGTCTTTGATAAAGTGTAGAGGGGAAATGAACAAACTCTGCATTACAGTGAGCTGGCTGTTGTACCTGGCGCTACGAAGGTCCAAGGTATTATCATTCTATGGCGCCGTCTTTTTGATCAGCTTAAAGTACGAATTTCCTTGAGCTACAATCGGCCACTTCGATGCATCTGTTCCAGTTCCCTGCGTTCGATACCACTCATACACATCGCATCGCACGGTACCCGGCTTTTTGTTAATTCTCACCTGGTTTAGTATGAAGTCCAAGTTCGGATTGTCAGCGAGAGGGCAGAGCTGGGTAGTGCTGCGCGGCCACAATGAAACTTCCAACTTGCTACCTTTGTCAGAGACCAGCGTGTTGAATCGCGGATTGCTCAGCATTCTGACGCGAGCAGGACCGCCAGTGCTCGTGCCGGAATACGATTCCAAAAGATCAGTGCCGTCTGTGCCCGGGGGGATTTGGATCGTAACTTTGTAGATCTTCAGAGTCAAGTCCGCATTCGGATTCCGCTTAAAGCGAAATACTAGATCAATTGGCAGATCTTGAGGACTTCCTTTCGGTTGAATGAAAAGCACGTTATTGTCAAGTTGAGTTGCCGTGCCCGAAATAAAGCAGGACGATTTGAATGCGTTCGTGGACCCTCCAGGCGGGGGGTCGCCACTGGCACTGCCCCCCGAAGCGGCAGGAGCTGCGGCAGGTTTCGCTGTGGCGGCTTGTGGTTTGCTCGCAGGCTGCTGACTTGCGGCTGCTGTAGAGGCAAACCCTGCCTTGACTGACGGAAGCATTGTGATAGGCGCCCGGAATGGAACCTTTGCGGTAGCAGACGCTGTCACGGCCTTCGCTTTGCTGGATGATGCTCTAACCGTGGGCTGAGGTGTCTGAGGCAGGTAGATCTTTCTGTGCGGCTCACTGTTGTCCTTTCCATCAGCCCTAGGCTTCATGACGATTTTCATCTTACTGATAGGGTCGTTCAGCTGGATTCCGACAAGGGCAGCCGACGGCTCTTGGTCGGTGAACATGTTCGGTAGCTCCTGAGTGAGCACGTTGTTGCACATGGGAGCAAATCCCTTCATAACGAGGGTATTGTTTTCCCAGTCAAAACGACCGGGGGATTTGGTTTTGGCAATTTGTTCGACACTGGTCCAGTTTTTGTCTGGCGCGTGATTGGTATCTCGCCTTGACCCTCTCCCCACAGCCGTATGTCGATCGGGTCGCCAAAGTCAGGATCGTTGATGTTATCCACGGTATAGACTCGATTGAACTCAATCTCAAGGAAATTTGTTTTGTCTTTGAGACCGTCGTGGGGGTCGGGTTTTGATTTGTCTTCCACACCAAGATTGACACCCGCGGCAAACCGCTGTTGATGAGGTGGCTGTGAGATCGTCAAGCTGCTCAAGGACTGGTCCCCTGGAATGCGGTCCAGGAGGCACAGCATTAAGTCCTTATCAAGGACGTCTTGCCGTACGACTTCTAGTTTGCCGTCTCCGTTCTTCGTCCACGGGGCGTGGATTTGCAAGTTGGGGAATGCCTGCACCACAGCGCTACGCAGAAAGAAGCCGTACGTTGGAATTTGCTGAGGGCGTGGGAGCAGAGTTTTGTCGACCGAGGCAAAGTAGTTGTTAAGTTGGTTTTTCATAGCCTGGCGTACAACATCGTCAGGGTTGTCAATTTGATTTGCTATGCTCAACGCGCCGTCGATGAACGCATCAGTCCAGGTTGGGTCAATGTAGAAAAACCTGATCGATTCTGGTGGCAGGTGTGACTGCTCGGTGATAAGATAGTGCGCAGGAATGCCGTAGAGGTACAGCTTGTCTACAATCCATTTGACCATGGTGGCCCAGTCCGGGGAGCTTGGAATGTTTGCTTCGTTAAAGTGCTGGGATGGCGTGTCGCTCGTGGCGTCGGCCGCTGGCACTGCGGAAGCGACCTTCTCCATTGCGGCATGGACATGGGTATCAAACAACCGGCTGGTATCTTGAGGTGTACTGGCGGGTGCCGAGGCAGCAGTGCTCGTTCGCCACCGTTTGGCAGGATCGATTGTGCGACTACCATCAGCAAGCCCACGGGAGATGTTTTTGATCAGGTCAACAGCAGTCTCAAGACCGCCGACTACCGCAGCACGCGTAGGGTCGCTGCCGGTGCCTGCTTTCTTCGTCTCGTTTACCGCTTGCGTGTTGACTACTGTTCGAACTCTTGCAATTGCAGCCGTGTAGCCCCGATCGGCAATCGCTAAGGTTCGGCCAAGCTCCCAGGCCGAGGAGTAAGTGATATCCATGATTCCCAAAGACGAGTCGAGGATTTGCAAAGCACTAGAGAAGTTGGTTTGCGATGGCCACGCGTCGTTGAGGGGATGAGGCGGCAAATTTGGTGTCAAAGGGCCGCGGAAGAACGCAGCTGTTGATTCGCCCGTCTCTGTAAGGTATCGCACCATCGAATAACCATCTGTTAGTCGTTGTTGAAGTCTGGCGGATGCGGCGTGCGAGGGATCGTCTTTATCGGCAGCTTTGACACTGTTTATCACAGGGTCCAGTGCTCGCAACGGCTGCGGGATTCGTGACCCTACCAATCGCATTGCATCCACAAAATTAATGTTATCTGGGGGCAATGTAGTGTACGTCCAGGAATAGAGAGAAACGAGCCCCACGCGAGATGATATGGTAGGGATCCTGACATAGTCTTCTACGCCTTTCAGTGACACTAGATGGACAATTGTCGACTTTGGCAGTGCGATAGCGGGTGAATTCTTGAACGATGGACCGGAGGGTGGTGCGACTCTAGGGTCTGAGACTATGATTTGCCGCGGGGTTCCTTGCGTGGGGCCGCATCGGTGCGATATGACAGCGCTGAAAAGGCCTTGCTCATCATCAGCCCCGAGGCTGGACATGTTGCAAGTGTTCACCTGGCGAACATGAGCCAGGTATTTGTATCGGTCGAGCACAGGCACAGCATCGTCCGGAAACACCTTGTTGTAACTTGCGCTATAGTCACAGAATAACGAGTGGAAGAGATCCGGCGGCATGAAAATCATATCTGCTGTGGGCTCTTTTCCAGAGTCGGACGCCGAGCCACCACTTCCTGATTTTGGTATTATTGGGTCGTCCGGGTCGTCATCACGGACAGGGGTTTCGATCTTTTGAGAGGATCTTGGGGTGCCTGGCATCCACGTGTCCAAGTCGAGGACTTTGCTCAGTGGGAGAGTGATGGACATTGTTGTTTTGGACTGTTGCAAATCCAATGATTTCCATTTATCGGGAAAGAGGCCGCCGTTAGCAACTCGGCCAAGTTCCTGGTCACTGAGCCGCAGTTCGTCTTCGGTGAACGTAAACAAGGCTAGCCATGGCGTCTTGTTACGAGGAGGCGGATTGTTGTTCCCCGCTGATTCTTTATTATTTTCTCTCGGAGACCCGATTTGCTCCCATGGCAGGTGTGGATCATTGAACACTATGTGCGGGAGGACCACGCTGTGATCAGAATGTCCTTGAGGTGGGTAGACCTGGTGGACCGAGTTTGGTGGAAGGGCAAAGCGCGGCGCATAGACTTCGAATTCCTGGTGACTCGTCAAGATGAGTTGGTCCTCGGGTTTGGCTGAGCCATGGGGTGCAGTGATATTCTGGACCACATCAATGGAATGCCCTCCAGCTTCCAGGCCCGGGGCTGTTGAGAGACAATTAGTCGCACGAGCAGGTAAGGTCTGTGGACGCATGACGCACCAAAGTATGAATACAACCGTATCTCTCCCGGATCCACCTTGGGCACGTATGCAAGATCGTTGTCGTCGCCATCGTCGACGCTCGCGCTGGTGGAGTTGTTTGCTGCCGCGGTCGCCGCCGCTGCCTTCAACGTCGTGCTCAACTGATTGAGAACACGCCCCCTGGGTTTGGCAGACGTTGCCATGGCGTAGGTTGTCGACTCGAGTCACCCGTATCATCGACGAGAATGGTCGGTAAGAGGAGTGCTCTGCAGACCGGAGAACAGGTGCGATGACGGCGGGTTGGAGGCGTCATTTCGGCCAGACGTAGGGGAGCACCCCCGGCTGGCACCTGGCTGACTACAGCTGACCAAAGCGCACGACATTGGCCTGCATTCGGCTCGGCCTCACAGCGCTGAGGAGCCCCTCAAACCTACTCACGGCCACAGCGCGCACTCGGCCATCGACGTTGACTGCAACAATGGCGGCGCCTGTGGTATGTGTGCCTATGAAGCTGGATGCTTTTGTGCTGAATCCTGCACTATGGTATGGGCAGAATTGCAACGCGCGTGCTTGAGCCGTTTTTTGTTACTGATCATCATCCAGCGCCCCTCTCCCCGCGGCCACTGTTGCGCCCATCACACAGCCAAACTACACCTTTCTGCGGCTCAATCAGAACGACATTCAGTCCGACCTGCTCAATCATGTCGATCTTCATGCTGCTACGGACAAGACCACCAATCCGCGTGTTTATGATCTGGGCACGGGAGCTCCCATCAAGGGGCGCATTGGCGTCTACCTACACTGGTCGCTCCCTCGCTTCTATCGTACTGGCGTCTCTGCAATGGGAGACATGTCAGACGCCGGTCGTAAAAAGGCTGAAGCGGAGCGGCGAAGCCAGGCAGGCTTCAGCAACGTGCCCGACACTGACTTTGACCCTAACGTTCCAGACTTCCGCCCCGTTCCAAACCGCTGGCTGATTGTGCGGCGTCTTTTCTTGGATTCTGTCATTCCTGCAACAGCTCGTGACACAATTGGGGAATTCAAGGCCTGGATAATCGAGAGCGATCGCCTTGACGACATCGACAGCATCCCAAAAGATGTAGACATCGAAGTAGAGTATGCGCCGTACATGACAGGCGATGGTACGAGTCTCGCAGGCCAGGCCGAAAATTTCATTGGCCTCAAGCTAGACGCGATTGACAGCACTGGAAAATTGTGGGCGGATATGTCCAACGAAGGCAGCGTCGCAAGAGTACCGTTGTCGGTGTTGAACTCGTCCAACCCATTATTCGCCGATTACACGCCGCACAACGCGAATGTCTTCTCCATGCTCGATCCATTCGAGTATAACGATGGCACCCAAACGCCAGCTAAGCTCGATTCAGCCACCGCAAGCTACTATGTGATCGGCTGGCATTCGAGTGGTCGAGTGGCAGGCGACCCTTTCACAATCCCGCCGGACCCTACCCACCCCGCTAGTCAACCCACTCGAGGCACAAGAGTGGATGGCTGCAATATGAAGTTTCCCGACGGCACCGCCGGCCTCAAAGACTGGCTCGATTCCTCCGATTCTTGCCGTACACTCTGCCACGGCAGCATGTATGGCGTTCGGTTTTCGGCATCCGACAAGCCAGCCAACTCACCAGCGGACAAAGCGGCATCGCTGCTGGCGAATACTTCCCCCGTTACAGTCGGGACCACACCTCTGGACACGATTCTTGGCTTTGTAGACGCGCACATCGATGATGGAGAGTTCGCCGCTGATAAGGATGCCTTTCAGAAATTGCAGAAGCTGGAACAGCTGTTGCTAAAGCAAGAAGAAACCGTCGACGCGCAGTTTGAGGCCTCGGATATGCTCTCGGACCATAATTTCATCGCTAGCGCAGACTCAGATAGCCATTGGTATCTGTCAGGCCAAAATACCGACGGTCAGCCGACAAAGCCAACTCAGACACAGCTCACTGCGCTCGCGGAGCTGAACCAATACCAAGAAGCAATGGACCAAGCTGTAAGGGAGCTACGTCAAGAGAGGTGGAATCTGTGGGCACAGTGGTGGACATACTTTAGCTTTGAGCAAGATCAACAAAAGGATGACGCAGTCAAGGCAAAGGTGAGAATCTCAAGTACTTTCACGCACTACGAGCGGCGACAATGGCGTTTAGCATTTACTGATCCTCTCAAAGGTCTGGGCCCGATCGCAGAATATTGCGGCTTTAGCCCAGCAGATCAGTGCTTGGAATGTTCATATTAATGGTGACCCTGCCACAGGAAAGACTGGACAGGCTGCTACGTTACCGTGCGAGAAAGGAGCCCGCCAGCGGTTCTACTCGCTGAAGGACCCGACGATGCTTGTGTCTGGAATGGACTCACCATGGCCAATTGACTACGCCAACAAACTCAAAGTTCGTCTTGACAATCAAATAGTGCCATATGCTACATCGCCTACCAATACGTTCCTTGGATGGTCGGGCTTTTTGGACTTCGTTCGCGGGTCTCAGGACGGGAAGATACCAGCTATCATCCACACGCTCCCTACTACAGTCATGCAAGCCACGGCAGATAAGCTGCTTTGCGAGTTTTTCATGCTTCACCCTCCAGACAGTCCGGCCGACAAGTACGTGCCTGAGATCGGCTCCGCAATTCCGCCTCTATATCATGATTCTGGTGACTTGGGCAAAACCAGAGACTGCTGGATAAACCAACCGTGGTTTCCTCTGTTTGTTGAGTGGGAAGCGGAGTACTATCACATCCCATATGAGAACTGGGATTTTGAGGAAATGAGTGTACCAAACGCGCCATCTCGATTCCGGTATGGCCTCAAGGATAGTGTTCAGCTTCCTGGCAGCACAGGTATTGTGGACAGCCCACTTACTCTGTTCGGGAGGATGCTTGTCTTGCCACAGCCCGCGTTCTCACTGGCAGACAAGATTAAGACACTCTTTGCAGGCATGACATCGGATGACCTCGATGCAATCATCCCCGGGGCAGACATGCGGACGAAGCTCATTGAAGCCGTGAAACAGCTTCCATTCTTGTCGGCGCCCATGGCCGGCTTCAACGACCATCTGATTACAAGGCTACAGGGCACGCACGTTAAGCCAACACAACGAGCTCCTGCCAGTACAATCAAGGTCATGGATCCTTCAGGCCCGGAGAAGACGAGGGAGCTCGACACGGCACTGAAGCCGTCAGCGGGATTCAACCAAGACCAGATCCTCCAGATGGACGTCAACACGTCGACTACGCCGTACGCCAACAGTGTCTCATACCCCGCAGACTTTACAAAGTCGCCGTTCAAACCTGTTGCACACGGGCAGTTCCGCTTCACACGACTGAATATCATCGACAAGTTTGGGCAAGCTGCCACGGCCATCGACCCACGGCCGCACGCTACGCAGCTACCACTGCACCCAGTGCTCGGCGAATACTACCGCCCACAGCTTCTTCCGCACACGGTAACACCAAACACCGTGCTTCAAGAGGACGCATTCGACCACAACCAGTTCGCGCAGATGCCGCCCAACATCAATCAAGACGCGAGACTGAACGCGTGCTTTCTCGTACGTGATCTGCCGACGCAAGCGCAGCCCTCGCCGCCATGGCGCCCGGCAACAGAATGGGAGTCCCCGATCTGGGGTTGGATTGTGGTCAACCACGTCGACCGCGGCCTACAGCTCTATCTCCCAGACGGCACCTTCTACCGCGAGGTCCGCCGCGGTGGTGTCGGCGGGGACACGATAGACCCGGCTTGGAAGCCCTTTGACCGCCCAACAACCCTGGATGCAGGGGCGAGTGTGTCCGAGTACACTCTACCGCTGGGGCAACTCGACGCACTGCTCACCAGGTTGCGAGAGAAAACATATCTTCAGGCTTTCATGGACATGGTCGACGCGGCGCTGATGGCGCTGCCGCATCCACCGGCCGAATATGCCCATGCCGCGTCTGTGGTTGTCGGCCGGCCACTCGCACTCGTCAACACGGGTTGGTCGCTCGAACTCGCAGCGCCGCCGTTGACCAACATGTCCACACAAGCCACGGCGCCCGCCCAGAAGCCGCTGGAAGAGTATGCGTTCCCGCTACGGCTGGGAGATGTAGACCGAGTCTACGACGGGCTTGTCGGATACTGGGAAGGATTGCCCACGGCACCAACAACTCCAGCCGCCGGACCAGGCGCGACTCTACCCGGCGGGCCGGCTGTGAGCAACGAGATGAAGCTTGACACGATCATGACGCACTTCCCGAGCGCCGTTGAAGGCGCGCCGACACAGCAAATCGGCACAAAGAACCTGCCCGAAGCTGACGCCGTACTACATCCCCAAGGTGGTGCAGGCGATACCAGCGCCGACGAGCACACGCACACCAGGCACGCCGGGGTCCACGATCCCGCCGTTTACCACGCAAGCAATGGACCCGGCGCAGCTACGGCAGCAGCACAACTCGCGCTTCACCGTCTTGTCGGCGCTGCTGGACCCCTACACGGCGCTGCACGGGTATTCTGGCATTTTGCCCATCGCGACGCTGCAGATTCCGCCGTGGGCCGTGTCGTCGGCGCTGCGCCGCATGGCGGCCTTCTTCGCTGTCGGCCCGCTGGTCGTGCCACGGCTGCGCGACAATTATGTTGAGGCCGACAAGCTGGATGCCTGGGGGCAGTATGCGCATGGCAGTGCCGGCGGACATGTGCCTGTGGGGTCGGGCGTGCCGTTGCCTGCTGCGACGTCGGCCGAGTGGCTATGGTTGCAGCCGTTTGATGTCAAGGATGCGAAGGGGGATAGCACGACCGAGTATAATGCGTTGGGCATCGAGGTCACAGATGATAAGCCCAAGTTTGACAAAGGGCCGTACACTGCTATTGATGGGTTCTTGCAGATGAGACAGACGCTGGATGCGCAGGGCAGCTGATAGGGGAATCGGCGTTGAAAGGGCTAAAGGGCAATGTAGGGAGATAACAAAAGCGAGGCATTTCGAAACTTGACGACACTGATACCCGAGCACAGAGCGTCCATCTTATTGTTTGAAGGTTGAAGCAGACATTAACGAGTAAGTTTGTATTTAAACAATAAGCCAGGCGTGTACGCTGTGCCAATAACAGCACCAAAGGCCCTCCTTCACTTCCTCCACTCGGCTCATTGCTTCAACCCAAGGCCGGAAATGCTTTTTGCAATGTCAGACCAGCAGCAAGTCCAGATAACTACAAACGACAGGATTAGTTTTCGATGTCGGCGCTGCACTCGGCCTTGGCCCCAACGCTAGCCTCCAAAGGTGCAGCAAGCGGGTCGTCGTGGCGGCGGTGGAAGAGCCTCTTCAATGGCCTCGAGCGCCGGGCGCATCACTCCGGCTTCAGTGACAATCAGCAGTGACGCAAAGCCGGCAATGGTCCACGAGGCGGCAACATATACCAACCCCTTGTCGCCCACCCACATGGACGACAGCTGGTCATTGTCCGCGGTGCCCGTTTCACCGTTGGGAAACTGCATGGCGAGTAGCACGAAGCCACCGGTGAGATGTGCAACCGCCATGCATACAAAGGCTGCCGGAGCCGCCAGGCCAAGCAGCACGGCTCCCGCCGCGCCAGCAACCGAGCGCCTGCTGACAAGACGCTGCAGGGTGACGCTGGCGACGCTCACAACCATCGACACGCCGAGCAGCACGCAGCCGGCGATGAGCAGCTGGCCGGCCAGGCGCAGTAGCGCGCACTCGGGAGCGCTGTCTCGGGCCGTTAGGTAGCAGTATTTGGCGGGCTTGCTGCTGCGGTGGCACGACGGCGCAGCCCCCGACTGCAGCACCTGGCAGTAGCCCAGCGGTGCGCGCCAGAAGAGTCGTCCCGTCGGTTGCCCGTCTTCGTCGAATTCCTTGCGCCAGACCCATGCCCGCGACGCCGTGGCCGCCACGGCAAAGGCGAACGAGAGGGTCAAGAGAAGCGCGATCAGCGCGAGCAGCAGTGTGCGTACGCGCCGGTTGGCGGCCATGGTAGCTCCTTGAACCGTCGGGGGTGTGTTTTAGTCGCGCTGGTTCGTGGCAGAATGGCTCGAAAGGGGCGCTCGACGCCACGGAGAAAAAGACTGCGATACGAGACGATTGCATCGAGACGTTAACGTGTGCTGAAAAAGAGGAAGAGAGACCGAGAAACTGGTCAGTAGGTTGGAGGGTTGCAACAAACAAAATCACGTGCACACAGGTAACCCCACCAATCTTTTAGTTCGGCCCACCAATGATCTGCAGTGGCCCAAGCTCATGGCCGGGGTTACGTCAGGATTGGTGGGGTTAATATTTTCTTGGTCAGGTTTCCAGGGTGACCAAGGAATAAAGGTTACTTCTCCACTTCGATTCTGCCAGTTTTATATGAATAATCAACGTATCTAGCTTGTTTCGTTCCCTCAATACCCCGTGGTACAGTGGCGTATCATTAGTATTTGCACCCCAGTACATTGCATCCTGACCGCCCTTAATACACCGCCTACCCATTATATCCACCCACAACCCCTATTATTGTCTGCCTATAATCCTCTTCCTATGATCCTCTAAACTATGCCTCGCGGTCCTAAGCTTGAACCATATATACGCGAGCGTATATATGAGTTAAAACGATCAGCAAAATGGGGTGCAAAACGTATCCAGAAGAATACGTTCCCTGATATTCCTCGTTCTACTATCCACTATACCCTCCGGTAAGATCTAAAGCGTTCAAAAGGTATTTCCCTACCTCGCTCTGGCGCACCTCGTAAGCTTACTGCGAAGGACCGAGACCGTATATATAATACAATTTAAAACCGCCCTGATATTACCCGCGAGGATCTGCTTACTAAGGTTAATTATAAGGTTAAAGCGATATCAATCTGGCATTTAACGTATAATATAGGCCTCCGGAAGTGGCGAAAGATAAACCGACCTTACCTTATACCTATTTACGCTACGAAATATCTTACCTAGGCTTTAGCTTATCGCTATTTTATACTAGAGGACTAAAAAAAGGGTTTTTTGGTCGGATAAAATAACTATTAAACGCGGATAAGGTACTCGGAAGGAGTGGATATTTATTCCTCCTAAAAATTATTGGAATATAGACCAATGCTATATAGAAAGATCTATCCTTATATTCAACATATAAGATCAGCATTGCATTAATCACGTGACCAGATTTTTTCTTCTATCAAAATGATATTTTGACCACTTCTGATTCTGGTCCGCGGCCCTCTCCCGAATGATAGGCAGGACCATTTTCCTTCAGAGGTAAATAGTCCGCCTTTAGACATGAATGGTCCGTTCCTTCGGAGGTGCCTTCGGGCATATCTTGCCCGCGGACTTCGACCATGGTCTTCGAACCTCGGTGAACAGACTTTGTCAGCATATTCAAGGACTGTCAGCATTACCTTTGTCAGCATTATCAAGGACTGTCAGCATTACCTTTAGTCATCCAAGAAGACTATGATCTTTATAATTGGTCAGATAAATACGAAAAGCCACCTAATTATAATAGGTCTATTAAAAGGTGTTCTATGGATAGACTATTGATGATACCTTGACATAGGTCTAGACTATTAATGATGCCTTGACAATAGGTCTAGACTATCAATGATGCCTTGACAATAGGTCTAGACTATTAATGATGCCTTGACAACTGAAAATGATGCCTAGACTATGATTGATTTCAAAGCAAGACAGGCCTAGACTTAAAATAATGCAAGTCTAATATAGGCCTAGAATATTGTTGATTGGATATAAATATGTCCGCAATTCTCTACAAGAAAAATAAAAATTCTTCTTCAATCATCATATATCATACCCTGAGGTTTCCTATTAAGGAAATATTCTTTTATTTATCGAAGGATAAAAGACTTGATCTCCTATTTGATCTCCCACCGGATCTCCCAAAGACTTCGACCCTCAGTCCCCTCAAGGATAGGCGGACCACTTTCCCTTAGGGATAAAATGGTCCACCTTTGGGTATGCATAACCAGATACTGCGGGGAAGCTTTCGGGGTGGCTGAAACCGTCGATCCTTGACATCATTCTTTTGGCTTTTCTTCGGTTCCCTTCTTTGCCACCTTTATTATATTGCTGTCTAGTATTTGTATGTTATTCTAGACGTCATTTCTAGGCTATTTTAGCCTATAAATATGTCCTTCTTTTCTAGCAGAAAGAATCAAGTCAGTTCTACTTTCCAAAAAGTCATCTCTACCTTCTTCCTTTGATCCTCAGGACTGTGGTTCTGCCTTCGTTTAGGCTATATCTGCTTATAGTCTATCCTACGACCTTTGACCTTCTACCTTTGTCTGGCACCGACTGACCCAGCCGGACTAAGGTTGCTCCCACGGACTTAAGGGGCCACGATCTGCTTCGTGGTAGCTTTCCCCTTATATCCCAACAAAAATTAGCTTTAAGAGCGCGAGTCTAGTATCTAAATAACACTGTCAAAAGGGAAACAGACAAAATAACTATTCTAGGCTTATTTCTTAGGCGCTCCGCGAAAGACTGGCTTAATTCCTTTATTTAGAGATCCTACTACGGATCGTAAGGGTATTATAAAAGAGGTTATTTATAATCTTTATTATAGTATCCTACCTACCTTACTAGCGAACAAGGATACTATCTTTTAATATAATAATATACCGACATATATTATATATATTCTCTAAACCCTTCTCCGTGAGTTAAATATTACTGTTATGGATTAGCCGCCTTATTCGCCAGATTTAAACCTAATTAAGAACCTCTGGGGGCTATTAAAGGCTAATATATTAAAGCTACGGCTGTGGCTTCGCGAGATGCCTAATAATGATACTACTTAGGCAGAGCTAGTAGATATAGCGTAGGCTGCGTGGGAACAGCTTACGATTAGGCACTTTATTAATCTAGCTGAGACTATGCCTCATCGTGTAGAGGAAGTGATTCGGTATGAAGGGTGGCATATTAGTTATTAGAAATAGAACTCTATTCTACCGGCAGAATATATGTGGGTCGAAGTACTGGGGTGCAAATACTAATGATATGTGACTGTAATTACTGAAAAGGGAAGATCTGAACCCGTCACGTAAAGTTAATACGTGGGCGGTATGTAATTAAAAGGAAAAGGCGGTGAACAGAAGTAACCTTAATTCTTTGGTCACCCTGTAGGTGGGTTTACCTGCGATCTCTGGCACCAGCCAGTGACAGGCCGTCCGTGTCAGCCGGAGGGGGTGATTGCGTCTGGGGAAGGACAAAGCGAGCGCAGCAGTTTTCCAGGTTCAACCACACTGCTCTGCCGTAGGTGGTCGCGCATCCAGGTTTAAGGGTCTCGATTGCGGTTGCAGGTTCACCACCAGAGCCATCTTCCAAAGCACACTGTCAACAGTCTTGCTGCTTGGCCAGCCAAACACCGAAGCCGACGGGCACTCGGCGGCCTTTGGTGCTATCCAGTCATGGCTTCGCTTGTGAACTCAGCACATTTCTTCCATCTAAACATCGGAGTTGGCGATTGTACCATCGTGGTCGAGCTCGACGCCAAAAAGAACCCTCAAACGCTCGTGCTCATTGATGGAGGTACCTTTCACGATGGTGCTGCCGTTATCAGGAACTGGATGACGAATTACGCGCCCGGGCTTTATGCGCTCTTTAGTGATAGGACGGTAAAGCCTTCTTTCGCGCGTATTGTAATCACACATTGGGACATGGATCATTATGGTGCGCATGCCCTTCATACCATCGTTGTACTCGCTGGCTGACTGCCGCACACAGGCGGCGTTTCGGACTTTCTGCTCTACGACGTCAAACGGCAATACGATCAATTAACAGAGAGCGGCCAAACTCCCGAACAGGCAGTACAAAACGTCAAATCTCCTTTCCTACAATATGACGGCGGCTCAGGAGTGGTTACATCTACCCTGTACGTCCCCTACTTGCTAAAGAAGGATGAGCCGACGATGGCGGACACAGCTGCAAAGGACTGCTTTTTTCGCTACACCCTGAATGCCGACTCGAATGCCGACAACGAACATATTGATTTCAATATAGGTTCGCAGTCGGACAAGATTATCGTGCCCAAGTTCTGCAAGGTAAAACACGGCTGGAAGGCGTTGGGTGGGCTTAACATCTTCACCAACACGCAGCCAACAAAGAGCTTTTTCACTCCAGTGGAACTTGCTGCTGTATCTCAGCTTGCGGATGGCCGTGCACGCGCAGGTCTATACATCGTGTCTGCCGCGAGGATGACATACACCACGGCTAAATCGTCCCCACCAGCTTCTTCGTCATCGTCAAAGAAAGCGCTGTTTACTGGAAGTCTCGCCGCCGTTTCCGAAGCAGCCATGATTTTTGATCAGTCGATACAGACGACGGATTCATCTGCCCTCAATAAAGGAACATTCGCACCTTTCTTCAAACCTTCGCTCAAAATTGTCGACAGGCCGACCAACCTGGACGACCAGGGGCATGCCTCAAACGCCGCTTCTATCATATGCATTCTTGTTTACCCTCCCTGCGCTCCAGCGCCGAATGGCAAAGTCTCCTATTACCTTGCTGGTGATTCCTTGTGGGACACAGAGGAACTATTAGCGGCATGGATCAACCAACCCATTACCTGCCTTAAGCTGAGCCACCACGGCTCTGCATACTCATCACCTGCAGTTCTCTTCAAGACTTACCAACCCCGAAATGTGGTTATTTCTGCCGGAAGGGCACATTTTCATCCAGGTAAATCATCACTGGCTAGATAAAAAAAAAGTAGCCTCGAAGCTTACAGTCTTTTATCTTCTAGCTTGGCAGCTCCTGTTCTATCTGTACGCGTACGCTATAAACTCAAAGGAGGACAAATTCGTCCATCTAACATCCTATCCGTGCTGGATGGTATATAGAGAGGATGGTGCGGTTGCGGGAATTGATCCTACTGACTTCTTAGCCGGCGGCTCGGATCAAACTGTGAAGTTCCAGAAAGACTTGGAAGAGGCCATGGGTTCCGACAGGTTTCAAATGTGGAAGAAAGAGTTTGCCAAGGCCAACGGCGATATCACCGCACAAAGAAGGTTTATCGTTGAGAAGATGGTCAACGGATGGCCTATCATGGCATACCTGACTCCTGAGAATAAGGTCCCTGGTAAAGTCATCCAACTGAAACCGAATTTCGAGCATCTGGGCAAGTGCTGATGTAAAATCAGATCAGGCAAACGAGTCCCACGTCACTATCGTTAAACCAAACCAGGCGGTCGTATGGGTGATCAGGCAGTCTGATCTTAACGATACGTCCATCCAGGATGGGTACGGCTGGGTCCGGGTAGAGGATCAGTCCAACATACCGGCGGCTCTGAAGGTTGCGGGAAATCCGGTAGTTGGAACACCGCCTCATTTCAAGTTCATTCGAAGAAATCCGACGCGCTCTAGTCCAGACGCTTCCTCGTCACTCTCTACTACAACAGTAACCGGCCTAGGGCTTCAGTCTATAAACGCATCATCGTCGTCCTCGTCAAATGCTATGGCTATTGACAATGGCAGTAATAAAGCTTTCTTCGCTACCACGGCACCACTGAAAGCTGCACTTTCGATCGCCGCCGCAAGCGACGATGACAGCGATGATATGGTCACACTGGATGTACAAGGGAGCGGATATTACGTTTGCTCTACGGAAATCGCAGTGCCGCAGGGCACGCCTGCCTCACAGTACACCAAACTCGCCAGTACTGACATTCTCAACGACTTCTTGTTGAGTCTACACACCGGAATCCTTTCGATTGCCGGGAAGCCAGACGCAGCTGGCAAGGCCCTGATAAGCGGGACAAACACAGTGGATGACGAGATGCTCCAGTGGCTGAACACCGCTTTTGCGGCCTCATCGATGATAGCGTATGCTACCGCCGCCGATACTGTCTCCAAGTTCACCATCACTATCAGCAAACTCAACGGGCTTGTGTTTTCTACAGAGAAAGTCCCAGAGAGCTTCTTTCCGGCGTCAGTGCAGCCGTCTGGGTTCGGATATGTCCATGACTCGAACATGCTAGTATTTGGACTCGATACATCCAGTGTGTCAGCCAACCAGACTTGGAATCTCGCTGATTTGCTCACCTACATGCAACTCGACCCCAGATATCTGAGTGGCTTGGCTGGACTGGTAGGCTTGGACCTGGACACTTCGGCGACGGCGAAGAACATGTTGTGGTTCTGGCCCGATAGCAACTACCTCGCGGCCATTCGTCTACAGTTCGTGCTGAAAGACATGACAGCTCTTCAGTCCTGGATGACAACTTGCTTCCAAGGCCAGATAACCTTGTCACAAGCCACTGTGGTACTGAAGAAATCGGTACGCTGGATCTGGTCCGACGGAAACGGGCTGGCAGATCCAGACCCAGATTTCATCGTCTCAGCAACATTTTCAAGTCCAAAGCTCGGAAGCTCAATAACAGGGCACCTGCTTCCCACCAGTGACTCAACAACGCTTATACTCGAGCCTACCGACGGATCTCTTGGAGGGATCCTCGACTGGCTGTTCGTTATCGTTGGAGCTCCTTTCAAGGGCAAATACGTCACCGATTGGCTGCCCAGTGAAACCAACAGCACAACAGTCAGGCAAATCCAACTTAAAAGCAGTAATAACAAGTTGGTAATGTTTGAGGTGACAATAGAGATGGAAGTTGGCTTTGGGAAGCCTGACAGCGGCTCACGGGTTGCGTTCCTGGTAAGTGCTTAACTTGGCCTACCCGTTGTCGTGTGTTGCTGACGATGATATTTCAAGATGACATACACTTGGCAGAGCACCGCCCCTACGCATAAGTTTACGGGTACTCTATGGTGTCCAATCACGATGGATCCTTCCATAATGAAAGGAATTGGCGCATGGATCCTTCCTAGCACCGAGAGCTACAGTATCTTGGTCCCAAACACGCCACACCTGACTAGAGAAATTCACTTGAGCAATTTGATTCCCGACAACTTCTCTATTCTGTCCCCGCCTAAGGAATTAAACCTCATCGTTGGCGGGTTGACACTCGAGCTCGGCTCGGATGGAGCCACCTTCACTGGCTACCTTGTCGCAAATGACCCGTCACCGTTAGACCCTACGCCAGTTGGCTTCAGACTTGAAATGGTCAATCTGTACGCTACCCATCAAACCGGAGGCAATACCACTGTCCGGTTAGATGCAACAGTCAATCTCTATGGCACAGACCCAACGGATACAGCAGAGCTCTATGCGTCGATTACCTATCAATCAGGCACGTCGAGATGGGATCTGCTAGGCAATATCCAAAATCTTCGCATGTCCACACTTCTACAGTTTTTCCCGAGTACCGACGGCTCAACGGTCATGACCATCATGGACCATATTGAGCTATCGACCCTCGAAATACAGTACTCGTACGAGAACGGACACGCATCGTCTTTCCACATCGTTGGTGCCTTCGTCTTCGACGTGGTCGAGCTCGATATGGATTTTACGTGGAACCCGAACAACGGCTGGGCGCTGACGGCGCAACTCACGACTGCACCTGATGCCGACACCTCCCTTCTCAAGATGTTGAAGAGTCTGTTTAAAGACAGCAGTATCGTAGACCTTATGCCGTCTTTTGTGGATGTCCCATTCAGAAGGGATGAAGCTACACAGCAAGGGAACGGTCTCTCGGTGACTGTGGAAAAGATTTTCAGTCCCAAAAAGGCTGGCACCAATGTGCCCTTCATCATCTTCACCGCGTCGGTGATTCTAGGTGCATTCCGTCTGGATGTGGTTCAGGTAAAGCAGATCTCTGACACCAAGGGTGCGCCGTTACCGCCAAAAAGAGTCGTTCGAGCATCGATCCATTCTTTGGCCTTTGACCAGACGGAGCACATTCCGATCGTGGGAGATCTAAAACAACCGTACGGTGAGCTGGATTTTGTCTGGATTCATGACGCAGCAAGCAATGGACTTACCCGCCTAGAGCTGTCAGCAATAAACTCAGTCAGCGGCATCTCACCCATCATGTTTAAGGACAATGTGCCAGTCGCTAAGCAGAAGGATGCAAACATTCTGTTGGAAAGTGGATCGCACTTCATTGTCGCAGGCAGAGGTCCGGACGGCGGTAGTCTCGTTGGACTGGACTATGTCTTCGGTCAGCCCAGCGACGTCACGCCTGCGCCGGCGGCCCCGAACCCGAAGGAGTTCAAGCGCCGAATTCTGATGGCGGCCGCCGATACCAAAGACGATGAACAGCCTACCGGAACGACACCGGCGAACGGAGAGACATCAATGGGCAAACTACAGCAATCACAGGGACCGCTGACCATCCAGAATGTCGGTCTGCGATATGCCGACTCGACCCTACACATCTTCTTGGATGCAGCGGTGAAGCTTGGACCCATCAACTTCACGCTCATGGGCTTCGCTCTCGCGCTCAAATTCAGCGATGGCATCAATCTCCGCAACCTCTCTGGCGTGACGCCTGTCCTTAATCTTTCGGGCATGGCGATCGGATTCAACGCTCCACCTGTAGAGGTCGCAGGCCTCTTCCTGAATGAGTCGCAGCCAAAACTTGTCAAATACGTTGGCGGCGTAGTAATCATGATGGAACCTTATAGCTTTGTCGCTGTCGGATCGTATGGTGAGCACACGGCTGGAGGGAGCTCCTTCAAGTCAGTCTTTTTGTTCGCAATGCTCGACGGGCCTCTGATCGAACTTGAAATCGCGGAGATTATGGGCATTTCAGGTGGATTCGGGTACAACTCATCTGTCCGCTTCCCAACGATCGCCGAAGTTCAGGGCTTTCCATTCGTGAGCAGGTCATTCGCACCACCTCCTGCAGACCCCACGGCTCTGTTGAAAAAGTTCACAGACGAAGGGAACTGGGTGAGTGACCAGAACGGACCACTATGGCTGGCAGCTGGACTTAAAGTCAAGGCCTTTCAATGCGTCGACGTCGACGCGGTTGTCATGTTCGAGTTCGATCCTCACTTCAAGATGGCCATAATTGCACAGGGACGGGCCATGATGCCGAATGAACCTGGCATGAAAAAGGAAGAAGCATTCATCTATGCAGAGTTTGGCATCCTCGCCACAGTTGATATCAACGGTGGTACGTTGCGGGTCGAAGCAGCGCTAACTCCAAACTCCTTTGTGCTTAATCCTGCCTGTCATCTGGGAGGGGGATTCGCTTTGTGCTACTGGTTTGCTGGCTCGGGGCATGATGGAGACTGGGTATTTACTGTCGGCGGCTACCACCCCGCCTACCAAGTACCAGACCACTACCCGCGGCCTGACAGGCTGACGATCTTGTGGGATCTGGGTGCTGGCTTAACCGTGACCGGCCAAGCCTACTTCGCGATAACTCCCAAAGCATGCATGGGTGGAGGCTCTCTTTCGGTCGTGCTCTCAGCAGTAAGTCAGAACACATCTTCGTCCCGATTTACTAGCTAAACAACACCAACAGGGTCCTTTAGGAGCTTTTTTCTACGCCTTTGCCGAGTTTCTCATCAACTACTCTCCGTTCCACTTTACCGGAGAAGTAGGCGTCTCCGTCGGGGTCAGCTTCACCCTCGATCTCTGGATCTGTACGATCCACATCAGTGTTGACGTCAGCGCGCTACTCACCTTGTACGGCCCGCCGTTCGGAGGCAGCGTGTACGTTGACTTCTGGGTATTCGGCTTCACCATTGGATTTGGCGCTAGTGATGGGGGAAGTGACCCTCTTCTTCTATCCCAGTTTTACGATCTGTTGATTCAGATGGACCAGAAGACTGCATCCGCGAAATCTATCGCTGCACCAGCATCGATAGCATCGGCTGCATCGGCTGACACCCCAAAGCAACATATTCTGTCTGTAGTGACTGGTCGATATGCCGGTAGCACCCATGACGTTCACTGCTCGGAGACTGCAATTTGGGTGGTGCGAAGGGGAGGCTTTAAGTTCAGCGTGCAAAGTCGCTTTGCTGTCTCGTCAAGCAAATGCAATAATGACGATTCCAAGCCATCACCAGCCACCAACTCGATTTACTCCAAGCCAATGCACCTGACGGACAGCAAGACTGGAACCGTTGACATGTACATTGCATCCGATTTGCAAGTCACGATCAAGCAGACTGGCTCAGTAATGAGCGGCTGGACATACGCTCCAATCATCAAAAAAGTCCCAGCAGGACTCTGGTCGCCATGTGAGATGTCAAGTTCACACTTACGTACGGTAATGAGAATATTCAAAACTAACTTTCCTTGCACTAGACGACCCTAAGAATGATCCTTCATCGGGTAGCGACTCGTCGTCACCTATCCTGAACAATACCGACAAGACCATCGATCTCATGATGGGTCTCACGCTGCAGGCCCCACCCCCGACCCTGTCTGACGACTCAATCAAAGACTTTAACGCTCTGGAGTCCATGTCACGGGATGTCTTTGAAGAAGACGAACATCCCAATGTACCCAGCAATGTGCAGACCCCGTCTACCGCCTGGCTTCCCGCGGCCAGATCTGGAACTGGGAGCGATCCGGCGCAGCCATGGAAGGACGTGCAAGGCACATGGGCTAGCCCTAAGCTCTCCAGGGTGGCAATTGACTCTGCTGTTTCCGCATGGGCTAATGCATTTGGTTACGGGTCAATGAGTGCTGCTGCTCCGCCCAGAGCTTCGACGCTGGCCGATGTGGAGGTGGATTACATGACGGCGCCTTTCGTTAGTGTTGCAGCTTAATCTACGCCCCAGTGCCGACGAATTCTGGTACCAGCACACGGCATCTCTCATTCTTAACGACATCGGAGAACTATCTGAGCCCTTTTCAAGTTTCCTAAGACGCTGGCGTGGAATCAGAAAAAGCCTTATTGTCACCATGCAGCCAGAAGCCTACAGGTGGTTGCCGTGGTGCTCTGCTGGATCAATATCGCCGAACGCTCTGGAGTTGAAGAAAGAAACCCAGTACACAGTCATCTAAGAGAATTTGGAAGAGGATAATCCGTAGAATACCGGACTATTCCAAGGAATAAAGGATTGGCATGATGGAATTCCTAAGGGTACAAATTGACACCATCGATCTCTACTTAGTTCGCCGCTCCTACTCACTCGCCTCCACATTTTCACGCCTCAGCACTCTTCCGTTTTGTGCTCTACTTTGCCGTGCTTTGCTATGCTTTGCTCTCCCGTCGCACTCCCGTTACTCGCCGTCGACACTCTCCCTGGCCCTCCACACCTTCCCGCTACCTCTGCTGCTGCTCTCACTACTCCTGATACTATTCCTGCTATTCTGCTTCTATAAACGCACCCCTCCTACCTCTGTGACTGCAGCAGCAGCTACTCCTCGTCCTCGCTCTTATACGACCCATCACTGCCTCGACCAGCACCCACAACCTCAAAAAACACACCACCTACTCGCCGACCGTACAACTGCTTATCGCTCGTAACCCGGTGCACTTGCTCTTAGCACTCCCATTTCCTTCATCCCACCTCCCTCCCGCTCATTGTCGCTCATATTCGCTCATCGCCCGCCAAACCGCAACCTCCGCCCAACGCAACCGATGCTGCCTCGCCTGCCTCGCCTGCCCCCGCTCCTCACGCACCTTTGCTCATTTGGGCGCGTCACTAAGTTGGGCTGTTTAGGGCTTGGTGCCCATAAGGATGGACCTGTATGAGACAAGGCATGAATAGTAGCACAACAGTTTAAGAGATGACCCTGTGTGTGAGCAGAGATGTGCCATTGTCTATTGTCCCTCCTGACCGTCTAAACCATAGGTGGCCCAGAGCCCTCCCTGTCTTGATATCAAACACAAGCACGAGTGCAGATGTATTCTTTCTGTCCTGTCCTGGCCATTCAGGCAGTCCTCGAGAGCTTTAGATCCTTGCATAAAACCTATGTTAGGTATGTTCAGTACCTCTCCACCACGCTATTTTCTCTAAGAGACATAAAAACTCATTTCGAGACAACAAGCCTACAAAACACTGAACATTATCTTGCCAAGCAGCAACTCCTGCAGCATATAGTCGCAGCGTATCTGGGAGACAGCAGCCAGCAGAGACTCGTGGGGTTTATTGAGTGAGCCCGCGCGCTGGAAGTAGCCCTGCTGACACATTTTCCCATAGTCGTACTGGACCACACCGCCAAATGTTCCCGTAGGCGTGCTAACGACTACATCGCCTAGACGGATATCAACATTCTTGGTAGGCACCCCCCCTCCCACTCCGACCATCAGCCCGAACTTTATGGAGGGAAGGTTTGCCTCATTTGAGTTACCACGGACGTGGCAGAAGTTGTCCCATAGACACCGGACGGCAGGCAGACAACTACTACATTAAGCCCACTCAGACTCCCAAGCGTGTAGTTATTGCGGTCAGTCGCGGGTTGGGGAGCGGTTTGTGAACGTGATCAAGCAAACTCTTCGCAGCCGCCAACTCGATCGGCAATGCACATATCCATGCGACCGTATAATCATTAAGTAATGTACATCTGGGAGGTCTTCCGGACATAGTGAAGGAGACTAACGCAGATTTCGGTCGCTTCCCGTAGCAGAACAGTTTTTGTGACAAGAAGAGGGAGGTTATGATGTGTAAGGGTTTTCAGTTAGGACGAAACGGAGGGGTCGCAGTACTACGAGGCTGACCATGAAAGGCAGGGCAACCCTGTAGAACAAGCCACCCTTCAGATCCGTGGTCAAATCAGCGTCCAGCATCCCAAGTAAGGTGTGGCGAGTCATACGTACGTCGTTCGTAGCCTCGCAACATGAGGCAACTTGGCAAGCCACACTTATACATGAATCTGATTGGATATAGTTGTAGAGTCCTCATATTCATAGCCGCTCGCAATTTGCCATTATACAATTTTCAGGTATCTGTAGCCACTCAAAATTATTGATGAGCGCCTGTGGATAGTCCATCTCTTCAAATTCAAAATGCTAAGGCAGAATATTTTTATCCGGTGTAGATGAGCGCAAGGGCTGCTACACTTCGTCCCTCGAGAGCTAGGCGCCGCTGGTGGATACAGGTATAAACGGCCTGCGGACAGTGTTCCTATCCTTGGCTGGTCGTCATTGGACAATGCACAATTCTCATTCAAGTCTATATCAGCGAGAATCATTTCCACATCTACATGGAAAACACCGCCGGAAGCAGGTGCGGGGTGAGCTGGGTGAGTGCGTGATAGAACAGGGTAAAGAAGCGGAATTCCAGCTCAGCGGGTGTCAAAGCGAATATGACTAATCTTGGCACTAGTACAGCATCACGTGGGCTCACGTGTATCATCACGTAAGGCGCTTACTCTACGCGCCCCTTTCCATATCGGGAAGGAGGTCAGAATCAACTTGAGACTGGGAGAATTCACTGTTTGGGGAAGGCGGTCAGTGTCAGACCGCCGAATACACACGGCAATACACCACCTTAACACTCCGTTACGTGCGTGTTACGTGCTTACGCACGGTCGGGCCAACGGCCGGGGGATTCCTCCTCCCGCCCTCTGCGGGCGCGCCCCTGTCCCTCCTGTTTACCCCAAAGGGGGAATTCTTCTGAGTTTCAAGTCTCAAAAAAAGGGCAATGTTATATAGACCCGTGGGTCCTTTTTGCTCATCTAATGGCGAAGTGCTTCGCGCCCCCCTCCCAGGCAGAGCCTGGGGCCCTCCAGTTCTTCTCAGTAGCTTCTCATAATAACTGATAACGTGGTCGGTAAACGAGTGACGCATGTAAGCGAGTGACGCACCCCAAAACACTATAGTAAATAGGATAATCATAACCTTATATCTTAATAACTATAGCTTCTTATAAGACTTCCTTATAAGCGTATATTATTTAAGTTAATTCTAATATTTTTTAAAAGTCTTAAAGGGTTTTAGGAAGTAGTAGTCAGATAATATATCCTTAAAGCTTAACCACCAAAATTATAGTGTATTTTTAGTAAAAGTTATTAAATTAGGGTTAAACTAAACTAGGCTTTCTTTATTAGACTTTTAATACACTAATTCAGTAGAATTATATATATTAAGAAGAATAAGCTTATTATTATTAAGTGTTGGGATATAAGGGGAAAGCTACCACGAAGCAGATCGTGGCCCCTTATGTCCGTGGGATCAACCTTAGTCCGGCTGGGTCTGTCAGTGCCAGACAAAGGTGGAAGGTCAAAGGTCGTAGGATAGACTATAAGCAGATATAGCCTAAACGAAGGCAGAACCACAGTCCTGAGGGTCAAAGGAAGAAGGTAGAGATGACTTTGGAAAGTGGACAATGACTTGAGGAAAGTAGAACTGACTTCAGGAAAGTAGAACTGACTTGATTCTATCTGCTAGACAAGAAGGACGTATTTATAGGCTAGGATAGCCTAGAAATGACGTCTAGAATAACATACAAATGACGTACAAACACTAGGCAGCAACATAATAAAGGTGGCAAAGAAGGGAACCGAAGAGAAGCGAAAAGAATGATGTCAAGAATCGACGGTTTCAGCCACCCCGAAAGCTTCCCCGCAGTATCAGGTTATGCATGCCCAAAGGTGGACCATTTTATCCCTAAGGGAAAGTGGTCCGCCTATCCTTGAGGGGACTGAGGGTCGAAGTCTGTTCACCGAGGTTCGAAGACCATGGTCGATGTCCGCAGGCAAGATATGCCCGAAGGCACCTCCGAAGGAACGGACCATTCATGCCTGAAGGCGGACCATTTACCTCTGAAGGAAAATGGTCCTGCCTATCATTCGGGAGAGGGCCGCGGACCAGAATCAGAAGTGGTCAAAATATCATTTTGATAGAAGAAAAAATCTGGTCACGTGATTAATACAATGCTGATCTTATATGTTGAATATAAGGATAGATCTTTCTTTGTAGCATTGGTCTATATTCCAATACACCCCCTTCAGCTTATCAGAGCTTATAAGCTGAATAGGCATAGAATTAGACCTATGCGTACATAGTCTCGAAGATCTAGATTTCGACAATTCTGTCTTGGATATCGGTCATGTTTAGATGATCGATAAACCGCTAGTGCTTCTGATAAGGCAAAGGCTTGGTTAGACCGTCCGCAGGCATAGAATTGGTCTCAATCCAGGCAATATCGATGTTTCCGGCCACTATTTCTTGTCGTAACCAATAGTGGTGGATATCAATATGCCTAAGCTTTGTGCGGAACAAAGAATTGACCTTAGTAAGGAGGTCCACGGTCTGTTTGTTGTCACAAAGGACACTAAGCCTTTCCTAATCTAGGTCTAGTTCAATAGACCTAAAGAGACGTTTCCACCACATCACATGCTTACTAGCTGATGAAATAGCAAGCAATTCGGCTTCTGTCGTTGATGTCGTCACCGTCTTCTGCTTCCGTGCAATCCAGTCTATCGGACCATTGAATAGGTAGGCTATATAGCCTTCAGATGACTTTCGTCCGATATTATCTGCATAGGATGCATCGCTTGCACACACAAAGGTAGGACTATCAGACTGCACAGGGGAATACCCTATAGCCTTATATCTAGTGTGGTATAGATAGGCTATGGCTTTGTCTGCAGCGTCCATATGCTTTTCAGTAGGGTTCGTGAGATGTTCCGAAAGTATTTGTGTGGCTTTTGCGGCATCAGGCCGTGTCATAATTGTGGCATAAAGCAATGATCCTATCTTCTGCTGATAGAGATGGATCATAGCTAGGGGAGTCTGGTAGTCCGAAGGTGGAGCGGGGAGCGGCGAGGGTGGAAATAGTGTTTTAACCGGTTTCAAAGGCGTTATATGGAATCGATGCGCAATTTTCTCAATATAGGCATCCTAGGAGATCCATAGCCTTTTCGTGTCCCTGTCGCGGGTGATTCGAATGCCTATAAACCTCGTTGCCTCGCCTAGGTCTTTCATTTCATAGGCTTGCATGAGCTTGTCCTTAAGCTCATAGGCTTCATGTTTGTGCGTTTGGTGGAAGATGACCAAGATATCGTCCACAAATATCATCAAAACGACGTTTTTATAGACAAATAGGCACGGGTCTTCAGGAATAGGCACGAATCCAAACTGGGCCAGTTTCTGAAGGATTTCTTGCTGCCATAAAATAGGCGCTACCCTTAGACCATATAGGGCTTTGTTAAGCCGTAGAATGTAGTGTTTGCGGCCATATCCTTGGGGGAAGGCAACATAAACGGGGTCGTCTAGCTTGCTATTTAGGAAGGCATTTACTGCATCCAATTGTATGGTTTCAAGGTCAAATGCAGCAATAATAGCAAGAAGAGTCCGAAGGGTCCGTGCAGCAAGGGTAGTAGCCCTAGTTTCATCATTGCGGTCAACTTGGAGATCTCCGCGGACACAAATTCTAGCTTTGAATTTGGCTAAATAGCCATTTTCATCCACTTTATAGGTAAAGACCCATCTAAGTGGTAGAACTTGGTGCCTAGGGCATCGGTGGGGCTTTGTAGACCATTTGTATGTCTTATGGTCTTCTTCAATGGTCTTTCGCTTCATGGGTGTCCATGCATTCATATTCTCAAGTTTCTGATATTCGATGTCTGCGGCTTGCATAAATTCGGCTTTATAAGGATGATTAAGCATTTCTTCCCATGATTCTGGTGGAAGGGGAAGATCGTCCTGATGCACCTTTTTAGGCTGATCTTTTATAGCCGCAGAAAAGGCATTATAAAAGGAAGCGAAGGCGTGCCGTTTATTTGATGAGTCAGGCGAGGAAGATCTGTCCCGTTTGTGGTGGTCGTATTAATTCAACATTTCCTCGTCATAGGAAGAGTTATCAATTAAGACCATAAAATCAGGTGATTGGTCGGGAACACGTGCATCCGGGGTAAGGTCTTCGGCCGGAATAGTGATTTGGGACAATAAAGAAGGTTCAGAGGGAAGTGAGGCGTTTCCGACTTCTGGGTGAGGATAAAGTGAAGGGTCATTTACTCTAAAATTGCCCGAATAAGGTGCGTTTTCGGTCCCGTTTAGAGTAAGGTTATCCTCACTTTCGCATTGGTTTTGCCTCACTTCTTCTTCTTCTCTTTCTTCTGATTCGTCTGGGGAAGGCGGTAGGTCGCCGAGGATTTGGTCTTCGTAGTCATGCTCCCTATTTTTAGGTTTTTCAATATCGTCATTGGACAATAGTTCTTCAATGTCGTTATCGGACGATAGTTCTGGTTCGTCCGGTAAAGGCCGTATCGTCAAAGGATCATCGAGAGGCTCTTTAATGCTAGTCTCGGAAATGACTAGGTTGAATTCGTGTGTTGATAAAGGCTGGATAGCTTCTTTGGATTGGTCGTCTATCACATCGTATGCCGAATTTGGTTGATAGAAACTATTCTCATCAAACACACAGTCTCTTGCATTAAGAACCTTATGGGCCTTAGGCACCCATATTCTCCATATATTGGATGCTTTGAAGCCGACAAGGTAGCCTATCATTGCTCTAGGCTTCATCTTTGCGAGACGAGGGATATTATTGATCCTCACAAAGGCTTTGCAGCCATAGACCCGTAGATTCGACAAATCAGGCTTTGACTTCATATAGCCTGGTTTAGGGTCTAGGCTTTCAAATAAGGCCTAGTAGGGTGTCTTCCACCCTAGTTTTTTATTTGGGGTTCGATTAAGCACATAGACCGCGGCTTGGACTGCTTCAGGCCATAAATATTCAGGTAAGGATGCCTGAATGATCATAGCCCTAGCCCTAGAGATAATAACTGCACCAGACCTTTCTGCAAAAGGGTTTTGCTCTGGTTGATAGGGCGGTGAGGTTTTGACCTCAATTCCTTGAGTCCGAAACCTATCCTGGTGGATATTGCGGTCCCCGTCTAGGTGGATGCGTTTGATGCGGATGCCGAATTGGGTAAGGACAAAATCAATCATTTGCTGCAATGATGATTGGATCAGGTGTTTTCTTGCAATAGTGACTAATAGGTGGTATTTCGTCACTGGACAATACGCATGGCTTGCATAGTGGATATTGTTGATTCCAGGACCCAAATAAATAAGGTCCCAATGCATTGTTTCGAACGGGTGGTCTCCAATATGCATAGGACGTCTAGACACCTGTCTTTGAGCCTTAGAGACTAGGCATGTCTCGCAAGGTGGGTTTTCGGCCGAAAAATGGTCTACCTCCACCCCTGTGGTAGAGGCTTCTAAATGCTTGATTGCGTCGATGCTAGGATGACCTAGACGCTGGTGCCATAGGCTGTCTGAGCCTTTGAGGATAGCCGGATCATAGGATGATGCAAATGTCATAGGCTCGTCCTTAGGCTTCGGATTAGGCTCGCAAGTGTCGTTTTTCGGGTCGGATTCCCCCTCAATGGGTTGAATAGGCTTTGTAGTCGTATTCAAAGCCGTTTGTAGATGGAGCGAGGGGAGCCGGGGGAGCCGCGCCCCTTTTGCATCGACTCATTTTTTGCCCTTAAAATAAGGGTAATACCTGTTTCATCCGAAGTCTTGCAGATAGGCGTCCCATTTTTTGTCTCAAGCCTATCAAGCCTTTGATTGTGGTAAACACCCCCTTTCTTGGCCCTTTTTGCTGAAAGGATATTCAAATGGAAGCGAGGGACATATAGGGTTTCATAGAGGTCGAAAGTGGTGTTTTCGAAGCGAAGATAGACTAAGCCTTTTCCTTTTATGGAAGCCTTTGTGTCACCGATTAGAAGGTCTCCTTCATAGAGCGCAAAGGTGACGAATTAAGAACGATCATTGCAAACATGGGTGTCTGCGGCCGAATCATATGCCCACAAATTAGACCGTTCATACTTAGAAGCTAGGCAAGTGACCATACCCATATGGGTGTCGGACTGGCCCTGCTTATGCTTCTTGATAGCATTGTCGTAGGCTTGTTTAAAGCCTGAATGGGTGCATGCTTGTTTAAAGCGGTCAAGGACTGTTTGGTCTGGTTTCCAACCTTCTGTCCTTATTGAAGGGTTGATATAAGGACAATCACTGAATGTGTGGTAACCATCATAGGCGCCCCCTTGACATGGACAGGGCTTTTTAGTCTTCTTGCCCTGGCCCTTTTCTGATTGTCCTCGAAAAGTGGCATTGACATAAGAGGCTCGTTTAGGCGGAATAAGCCTAATAGAATCCCTATACTTCTTTGTCAAGGTAAAGAAGTCAATAGAGTCTATTTGGCCTATAGATTCAAGCCGATTGATCTCATTATGCCAGTATTCGGCGAAGGAGGGAGACATAGAGGCTAGACTATCAAGGAAGTCCAAAAGTGGTCTAGTCTTTGATTGGACTTCACCAATACCCAATTGGACAGCCTCCACATAAGTGTTCTCGCATTGTGAAATCCATACATCTATGGTCAAAGAGTGTGGAATTCGGTGCATTTGATGGTATTTCTTGATGACCGACCGCTTTCGGGCTTCAGTGGTCGGTGCATAACGCTTTTGGAGGGTTTGCAAGGCTTCATAAACTGACGGTAGGTGCTGAATAATAAGCTTGCTTGAATAGGAGATCGATGATTGAATGATAAGGTAGATCTGAGAGATAGCACCCGAAATACGGTCATATTCGCGAAGGTCAAGTTCATAATCTCTTCGTCTGTCTCTCCACCTTTCACGCTCGTTTGTGGTCAGGTCTTCATCGGTAAGGGCTTTAGGGTTAATATCAGTAGCTCTAGGACGAATAGGATAAGAAGGAATATCCCTCTTTATTGGATTGTCGGGGTCAATATAGTCCCATACGCCTTTTGCAATAGCATAAGACTTAATTTGACCAATCCAGAGATACCAGTCTGATGACTCAGACAAGGTTACACCTATCTTGCTTATATCGGTCATAATAGGCAAGAAGGTAAGGACAAAGTGAAGACAAAGTGAAGTCAAAGTGAGAGCAAAGTGCTCGTCGATAAGCCGTGAAGTAGGCTAGAAGTCGAGAAGTCGTCGATAGCTTTGGATCACAAGTCTTATAACTATCGGGTATAAGACCGCAGCAGAAGAACTGGTCTTCAATAGAAGACCGCAATAGATATCAAAGGGAAGCGAGATCCGGGCTCATAACTGTTGGAGCATAAGGGGCCACGATCTGCTTCGTGGTAGCTTTCCCCTTATGCTCCAACAACTACCTTTAGGACTAAGGGAGAATATAATCTAGAAAGAGCCGATAGGCTAACCCAATTTAGGATAGAAGTAGTTTTATTTCGTAGTTACTCGTTTCCCTCTTTCTCTCTTTTTCTTCTCTCCAGTTTAGTTACTCTATTAATGATACACGAATTCTTTCTCGTCTTGGTCGGTAACAATATGCACAAGTTATATCTCACTTTACGTAAGACTGGGCAACACAGGTTCCTCAAAGTCTTATATTTTGGATTGGAGGGCCTCATGTCAAAAAGCAAGCGGCATATATTGCATTCTATGGCTTACTCGTAGTGAATGATCCCTCCTCCTGAAGGCTTTTGATTCGACCCAGTAGGAATTCGAGCTGTCGATATGCAGCACCAGGAACATATTGAGGAATTTCTAATAAATTGAGTTAGTAAGAATGAAAGGAAGTATAGAGGAAAAGAAAGGCGTCAATGAACGAGGCTAGCATCGCCCACATACCATGTCCAGAACCGAAAACGGTGCTGAATGTCAAACCACGCTCTGTATGAGCTGTTCCAAGTAAACCAGCCCCGGCATTGGCTGTAAAGGGGGTTACTTCATTTCCATTAGCTATCTCATTCAGTTTGTTGGTGTACGGCACGAAAAGTGGCTCGATCGGAGGCTTTTGAAACCCTTGAAGACCATTCCAGGTCATGTTTTGGATGGTGGCCAGAGTTCCGTTCATAAACAGCAAGTAATCATACCAGCCATGGCCAATCAAGACATTGTTTGTTCTCTCAATGACACTTGGTAGTGGACCAAGGGCGCTTGGAATCGAACCATCTCCGTCTGGAAAGACATTGTATTCACCACAAACTGCATAATTGGTCGATGGGACGTGCAACGCGTTCTGCACGGCAGACTGATTGAAATAATTATTGGGGCCTCCAGCCAAAGAAGGAAAACCCATCTCATCCCACAGGAATGGGCAGAACTCTGTCAGATGATAAATGTTGAAGCATGGGTTGATGTAGGTCGCGGCCTTGACAATCTGGTCCCAGACGTCGCAGCCCTTCTGAGTTTGATCTGGTGCCATCGGAAAGTGTTCGGGAGGGGGAATGTTATCGCTTGGTTCAGGAAGTTGTTGTATCCACATTCCTCGGCGCGATCGTTGATATGTTCCATGAAGGTCTGATTCAATTGAAAAACATTGGAAAAATGATTCAAAGCCGGAACCGCGGGGGCTGTCAAGTTTATAGCGTAAGTAGCGAACGATATAATTCGTGGGAATAAAAGACTGACCGTAGATCATCACACTGTCCTCGTTAATGGATGGGTCGTTGATTTGAACACCTTTCAAGTTGAAGTAGGTTGTGTCTTTGCGGTCTAACATCCCAGCAGCCAAGTACGGAATATATTGGCCTGCATAGCTTTCTCCAGTGATGTACACCTTGTTATCCTGCATGCTGAACGTCTGAATGAACCTCTTCCAGAAATCATTGAATTGATGTGAGACGTCAGTCTCACTTTGGACAGTAGGAGGGCCAGGTGAGAAGCCGGTCCCAGCTGGCTGATCGACATATACGACATTTGTCAGATTCGTCCAAGAGTACGGATTTCGAACAGGTGCGTATGTGCCAGACTGCCAGAGAAAGGGTCCATTCTCTTGCAAGAGACCGTCAAGCGAGCTACACCCAGGTCCTCCATTCAGCCAGATAGTGATCTGTAAGAAGAATTAGCAAAGATGGACCTGTTTTTCACATCTTGTCCATACCTCATTGTTGGCTTTTGGATTGTTAGAGGGGAAAAACCAGAAAAATAAGCTCGAGTTTCCGTGCGGCGTGTTGGCAAGAAGCCCAGAATAGCTTTCACCAATATCAAACGCAACTTGTGGGAAATTTTTTCCATCGACAAGGAACCCTACATTGATGTCAGCCAGTTGACACAACAATGAAAGGAATCAATATATAGTGAGCCTGAAATGTGTGTCCACTCACGCTCCGTTTCTTTGTTCAAATACTGGTAGCTGGTCTGGAAATGTTGGATATCCCTTTTGGGAAAACTTTTCGCCGACTCCTGCTTCCAAGCCTTCCGGTGAGGGTTATGTAGGGCCGCGACCGCGGCTGTGAGCAACGCAACTGGAGCCCAAAAATGCATGGTAAGAACTTGGAAGACCCGTGAAAGGCGCAGAAGCGGGTCAATCTTATGAACGTTAAATGGAAGAGAATCCCATGGTTCATTTATCTTCTTTATCTACCTTAGGGCAGAGCGAAATTTGGAGGCCCGACGCAATTGCGAGCGCCCTTAGTGAGTAATCACGCACATCAAGCCTTCTAGTAGATCATTGGTGGGACGATCGGCAGTCGATTGGTTAGTAGGGGGGCGGGTATTATGGAGGCCCAGAGCTATTGTAACGTTACCAAGCGTAAGTAGAAGGTGATAGAACAGAAAATGACGCAATGGATCTAAAGCCAATCTACGCAAGTGAATAAAGGGGACCCTTCAAGGAATCCTTTATCATTGATATCATTGACAAAATCCTTGTCGTTGGGAATAACTTGATCCTGATCCGGCTTGCGAAGTCTATGATTTTATTAGTATACCCTCGGAAGGATTTTGTCAAAAATGACACTTAGGTACGATCTAGGAGTGAAGATTTAACAGTACTCACGTTGCGAGAATTCGACCCCTCATAGATTACGTGGCAGCTTCATTTGCTTATTTTTAGCGGGTACTATTTGGCTTGTGAGCGACTTCGTCGCCCGGCATTGGAATTTTGCGGCGAGGTGCGGAAGATGCATCCTCTTTTAGAAGCCCTCGTTGAAGCAAATAGGCGTTCAAGGGTCACGCAATATTTACGAAATACTCCCAAAATTCTCATTCCCGATGCACTCAGATCGTACAAATGACCTGGTCAAGATTGTGCAGTGCGCAAATGATTTCGGCTGCGCGAGTCAAGGTTGCATCTTCGCATCCAGCGCACTTCTCGCCTTTATTAGCATCCACCCTGTTTGTAAATGTGCTTTTGGGTCGGCGCTAGGAGAGTCTCATTCAACCCATTCGACCTGAATCCGTTGACCTGAGCTCGTACCCAAATATGTTACACCGAGGCTGACTCGAGGGTCCCTGAAAAATGTTGGTGGCAATGTTTCAAACAGGCTAAGCTCAGAGGGTCATGTCCAGCACATCCCGAAAACACCTGATCCTGACCAAAAACCCCCTTTTGAAACTCACACCGCTCTCACGCTACCAAAAATCCATGCCCTTTGATGGTTCATTTTGTATTAAGTCTCGATATTAGGATGTATGCTAGTAGACAGGTCGAACACGCGGCATAAGTGTGCGGTACTTGCTTGTAAACCCCCCAAGCCACGTTAATCGTTTATTTGGGGCATCATCGGTGTTCAACCAAATGGAAATGAAGATTTAAAAAGCCCACTTCTTGACGTGACTTTCGTCTTCTGCCAACAACATTCTGTCAACGCACCTCGCTCTGTTTAGTGGCCAATTGGCCACCGGCCAGTATATCATGGTTAAGGACGTTCGCCTATCCAACTATTTTATACAACCTCTTTCAACTTGCCTGGTTTGCTTCAGTACGCTATTGGTCCATGTCTTCTTCCTTGCAATGTCTCGTGCTGTGTACTAAGGGTGTTCCTTTTGCCGGAGGGTACGTACTTGAGCCTGTAAGTTTTCATTGCCATATCTTGGTCGCAAGATCCAATAGAGCCAACTACTGATCATGTGGCCTTGACAATAACTTCATTTCTTGCATGTTTTACACATGCATTGTCAGCACGAGCTAAGTCATTGTATGTGACCTGTGTCATAGTGACTGTGGTACCGCCAAACTCTCCGACTCAGCGCCGTTTCGAAAACTGACTTGACTTCGTCGAGCGTGAGCAGCTTACGAGCCCTCAAACTATGCACATATTGTGTATCAATTGCATTAGCAATCTCTTGAATAATATCTTATGGCATCTTTATTGGGGGCATGGAAATTTCAGGCATTACCGGATGCGTCTATGCCCTTGAGCCCAGGTTTCGACATATCAATGATTCTTTTCCTTTCAAGATGGTGGCTGAAAACCTCGACTCATCCCACAATCTAGCATATTGTATCGTCAATCCTGCTACAAATAGATGCATATGCCGTTTACCCAGAGCACAAGTTTCATGCCTAGATCAGTGGGTCTGTTCTATGCAAAGTCAATTGAACCAAGTGTCGACTTTCAAGCGGGGCAGGCAAAGTATTATGGAGGGTTCATGGCGTGGTGGTCATTGATAGCATGAATCGGATATCCAGCCAGTAGTCCTTAAGTAGGAACAAAATGCTTCGAGTCATCCTCCTGCTGACTGAAAGACTCATGAAAAGCCGCGATGCCACCTATGATACCAATTGCCATGAAAATGAGGGATATGAGAGACCAAATCACACCCCAGCACTGAGAGGATCCGCCGTACTTGCTGGCAAAAACGCTGGCATCCGAAGTATTCACCTTGCGAAGGATCAAGTCGTCACACTGTAGTGAGATTGTCAGTCCCAGTGGTTCATTACACGAAGCTGGTGGACACTTACAATATCCCAGACGCTGTAAAGAGCAGACATGACACCGATGAAGAGCTGTTGAGGAAAATTAAGACGGTCCTCTCGCTCTTCATGAACGCGGACTTACCACGACCCATCTCAAGGCCTCGCCATGGGCAATAAACCAACAAGCCACCAGCAGACCCACTGTAAGAAGGATAGTCATGATCGTTAACCAATCCTTGCGAGCCCACCACAAGGTCAACAAAAAGCAGACGCCGAGGACAATACTGGCGACTTTGCTTGCCACAATATCAAATCCGGCGAAGATCAAGAGGGCGCCAATGATTGCAGACCCCAAATATCCCGCAGGGAGTGTGATAGCGCTGATTCCACCTTGCATGTGAGTCACTCCGCCTTCGTGGGGATCAAGTGAGATTGATTTAACTCTTCCGCCAGTGCAACAAGCGGTGATAGCGTGACCAAATTCGTGAAATGCGATCACCAACATCTGTATTGGTTAGAACTACCCGAGTAAACACCGATATGGGGCTGACAGTTATCTTACCTTGAAGGGCCAAAGAGACCAACGAACATATGGCAGATTCCACAACAACGCTATGACTACCACATACACCGCCATAACACCAAGAGTAACAGCCTGCGTGTGGTTGACCGAAACGGCGCTGCGTTTGATGAGATGCGGGTCTATCTCGCCCATCCGTTCCCTTGGTGGGGCGTACAAAGCAGGCATCTTAACGAGAGGGAAGGCCCACTTTGAAAGTAGAGGTCAGACCCGTAGGAATGAGGTTGAGTGAGGTTCAGTATCTTCTTGAACACTTCTATTTCTGAATATTTGAGAGTGCTATCTTGCCACACCCGTCCTCTTGGCTGGAAGAATGAGACGCGCGTGCCAGTTGTTTGTTTTCTGTGGCGCGCGGCCCGGGGCGTAGACTGTGGCTGGTTACACTACTTGGCTATTTTTAGAGTTCCCATGCGACTACATTATCTTACGGGCATGAGAAATACGATTATCTAAGCACTGAAAAGTGTCGGAGCACCATCCACTCGAAATGCACGGAGCACCAACACCAAGTGCAGCGTCTCTTTCGCCGCTTGGCCCGCAAAAGTAGGCTCTCACACTCAATTTGAGAAATCGAACGCGTAAGGTCAGCGGGCTTCGCAATGCTAAGCATTCCTCCGCCCTTTCAAGCCCGAATCAGCACTAAATCACGACGCTAGCGAGGATGTCATTGTCTTGTCCCTTGTCTTGCTATTCTTGTGAGGAAACAATCGAGTTTCTCGAATCTACCGTGTCGATTAAGGTTGTCATAAATTTGGAATATTCTTCTAAAAGCTGGCTTTTTCATTTCATAGGGACTCTACAGACCCTTACATTGGCAGTGTTGTTAATGGTAAGGGTTAAGCATTCTGTGGAGAAGTTTTTTCCTTCTCGGTACTAATTTGCTGCTGATAGCACACACGAATCTGACAGAAGTCACACAAACACTGGATCTACTCTGGAGAAATCAAATTGTCCCAAGCGAGGCTGTCATGGGAATGGGATTCTATGGTCGCAGCTTCACGCTCACAGATCCGAGCTGCAAGGATGCAGGCTGTCCGTTTACTGGTGGCGGTAAGCCTGGGAAATGTTCAGCTTCGACCGGGCCACTCATGCACTCTGAGATGCACAATTGTGGATAGCGGGCAGTCTTCTCCATGGAGTCCTGGCCCCTGTCCTTGGTAGAAATTGCAAAGGAGAATGTCCGGCTGGCCAAGTTCCCATTGCCACGTGAGCACCAGAGATGCCATAATCCTTGAAGAAGAAGAGTGCCAAAAGTTGCGTTCACCTTAGTGACGGGACGAGTTGTCAACCAGGCAAATACTCTACTACTGCTGTGATAATCCGAATGCACCAATGGTAAGCGGACAAACCAGCATGCTGCCTAATTGGGGTAAAAAGTCAAGCTAATCAACCATCCATGTCCAAAGTTGCCAGCCCCTGGTGATATTTCGATGTGCCCACCACCACCAGGTACCTCCGTGGGAAGTCACAACTCTGATCCCCATGGAGATGGCAAAAATATCTACGGCGAAATTTCTCAATTTGGCATGAACTGTACTCTGCATGGTTTAACGCCCTTGGCATCCCCAAAACGCAGCCGGGATCTTCACACCCTCATATTGAATGGCATTGATCTTTGGGCGCAACAGCATGAAGTTCAAAGAATGGTCACAAATGAAGCAACAATTTATCAGCCTCTTACGGGTTGATCTCTTCAATCTGAGCATGAGGGCAACAAAAAACTGGGAAATGATACTTTGGCTGCCCGCAACTTTCATATTTCTGGGAAACGGCTTTTGACAAGAATTCAGTGCTTGCATTTTGTGCTGCCAGTTCTTCTCGGCTCAGCATCTTCCCGCAAATATACAGTGGTTATAGGAAGATCGCAAAGCTGGCCAACAAAGGTTGGGTCTCTATTGTCAAGCCAGCCATTTGCGGTGCCATTGGCGTTACTTCGTCCACCACACAGCCTGATAATATGGAGTTTGTGGCCGAGCATGTGTTCGAAGGGCAATCTCTTCACGACTACATCGAGTATATGAACGATGGCAAGCTGCCTGGTGGTGGAGTCCTGAATGCTGGAAAAGCTGTGGTAACGGGAATTTTCGATCGGACTGGGGTACCTATCATCCCCGTCCGGCGGGGGATCATTGATCGAATGTCCTACTTTATCCATTCTTACAATTACTTCAGCAATTGGCCATCTGCACTGAAGCTTTCGTTCGGCGACGGTCCATTGGCAACCTCATTCGGAGCCCGCGAGCATGCGAAGGCCCCTGCAAACTACGATAAATTTGCAAGTGTGCGATAGAGACATCAATGCTCTGAAAGCCCTAGTAAGCCAGCCATCAATCACTTGGAGGCGTCAATATGATCATTCATGTTTTTCACTAATTACTTGTAGATCACGGCCAACAAAGCCTCAATTGATGTGACCAGGTGGAAAACGTTCAATGCGCTTGAGAATTCTGCCTTCCTATCCGACGTCATTGAGTAAGTTTTAAAAATACCAGGGAAACAGTAGCAGCTTTCTGATGCCTTGAGTGATTTAGCACCTTTTCATACGTGAAAATTCCAGACAGCCAAGTCCTATAACGCTGCGTACAAGGCGTTGATAATTTTCTGGTAAGTCCGCTTTCCCGGTTCTCTAGAGTATCTGCTGAATCCTACAACAGGGGAAATTTTGCAAATACCCGAGCGCGCAAGTAAAGTACGACTACGTCAGGGCCTTTAAAGCAATTGTTAGTGCCGATCTTAATCTGCAGGTCACGAATGCCTTGAAGGAATTCAAAGCCTTTGCCGCAGATGCGCAGTCTACTTGGGCCAGTTCTGCTGGTAGGTTACTACTTCTTCATTAGGTTCGCTTAAAGCATGTGACTCAATCTTTTTTCAGTGAAAAGGTTGTACGCCTCTACCATCGTGAAAGAAAACTAAGACGCGATCGCCGACTTTATCAACAATGCTGCAAAATACATCAGTTGTGATAAGACTACCATGCTGGCTTGAGTTCCTTACTGTATGATCTTAGAAAAGCAGTCCTTATTCGACCTCATGTCTGCCACACCGGCGAGCCCGCAAAGGCCGGTGGAACACATGGATAGTGGAACAGTGACTTGTGAGGGAATCGCTGTTCACTACTTTTATAAACGGATTGCGATCTCCATCAAAAGTACATTCATCTCCGCAAGAAAGGTGTTAAGTAATCTACCTGGTTTGGAGCTCCGCACTTAAGTTGAAGAGGAGCGGTGATAGGAGGCTAGGTCCATGATATCCAAAGCCGTAATCCAATACAGATCATTCATGAGTGATTCCACGGCCACCCTAAAATACGTCCGTGGTTTACAGTCAGTATCTTTTTCTAGCTCCTCTGTGTCTTGCTCGATCGGGATTTCATGAGCAACCCTTGATATCGCGAGCACAAAAGGGAGCTCTTTGCGTTCCGCCTGAGGGGCTGAAGACGGAAGAGGCGAGTTGAGAACCGATTCCAAAGAGTCCGGCGTGACCATAAGGCAGACAGAAGTGGAATATCCACGGGAGAGATTTGGCCACATCTCATCGAAGCGCCTAAGATCAATCAGTAACGAAAGCAAAGTTATAAACACTTATAACAATACTTAGGACGTACCGGGAAACCTCCTGAGATGAGGCGCTATCCAAAGTAGGATCTTCTACCCAGCGGTTCTTCCGCACTTCGATCGCTCGGTCCAGTTTAGGATGATAATTGTGATACTCAGCGATTTCCTGCTGCATAATCTGGTCCCAGCGACTGCGAAATTTCGCCCACTGAGCTTCATAAGCCGATCCATAAAAGCAGGTGCGGAATATGACAAACCCCAATCGGACCATTGATCAGAGAACTTAAAAACATTTTTCAAGTTGTCTAGGTAGGGCGAAAAAATCTCTCGTTGCGCGAGCTTTTCATCTTCTGGTTTTTGGGCATCCGCAGCAGCCCGAGCCTCTTGGTCGCGGCGTTCCGCAACCTCCATCACATGGTCAAAAAGACCAGCTTCTCTGAGGCCACCGAACAATGTTGTATGCTATTCATCTGTTAAACCCATGATCTCATCATCAGAGGCATTTAAGACCCGATCGTAGTCCCATCCCGGCGGGTAGAAAGACATGTTCACGAATGGTAAGTGAACAACACAATGAAGCAATAGACGGAGAGGAGAGGAAGAAGAAAATTCCTCAGAGACAAAGAGATTGGGTTACAGTACGCGAATTGGGGCATGCTAAGCAGAAGCGCCACTAAGCTTCTCCTAAACCCGTGGACCTCTTCTTTCGAAAATCTGCATTAGATAGGTATTGTACCATGTATTTTCCAGGGGGTAATAATCATAGTCCGGTTTCTGTTAGTTGAAGGGCCAGAATTATGTGATTTCCGACCGGTGTCATCTCTTGTGGACTGTTCAACACTAATAGTCCCGTGGCATACCCAAAGCGGTGTGCCTCTGTTCGAAAACCGGGGACTGGCTTTTGAGAAGGGATTCGAACGTAGTACACCGTACGTCTATGAAGTCTTGGTTGATGCGAAGCAGCTCCTGAATCTCGATTGGAACGCGACAGCTGAGGCTGCTAGAGATGGCCCTGATCCCGGAGGTCCATTTGCGATGTCGGCGGACTCTCATGTTGGTCATCTGCGACTTGATTATCAACAAAGATGCGACAGTACCACGGAGAATGGTAACCTTGAGCCTTGGATTTTCATTCAAGTCTCTCGTCAGAATTGGGTGGGTGATGTTCAATTTGATCCAGATAGGCAAGAAGTCTACAAGTATAACACACAGAGACAGGACTACCCGCTTGGTCCAGATCGTGCCCCGAATTTTAGGATGTTCTTTGTCTCAAGATTCTCAGAACCATTCTTACAAAATGGTGTCACCTCCGGCAAAAACATCTTTGAGGATGAAAGCACAAGGCGGGGAAACTTCACCAGTGCCTACGTGAAATTTCATCGAAATACTACCAGGGTGGAGGTTCGGACCGGCGTCTCCTACGTCAGCATCGAACAGGCAAGGAAAAATCTAAATCTTGAGATCCCTGACAGCGATTCATTTGAAAACACCGTCCAGAAAGTGAAGCAGGCCTGGCTTGAGAAATTGGGCCGTGTGACTATTGATGGTGTCAATGAGACCGACTCGGATCACGATCCCCGCCAAATTTGGTACACTGGCCTTTTTCATGCACTTCAATATCCTAACGACTTCTCCGAGCCCATGTCAACGGAGAAGGACGCCGACGGGTACTCTACTCAGGATATACCGATAGTGTACACACTTTCAATGATTCTTACTATCAGTCCTGGTCAATTTGGGATACCTACCGAGCAGAGCATTCTCTACTGACCCTTTTTGCGCCCCAACGGGTGAACGGGATGATGAGATCGATGCTCCGTATTTTCGATTGGACAGCTTGGCTTCCAATGTGGCCGAATATTATTGAAACAAACAGTGAAGATGGATGATGAATAATGAGAGATATAATAGATGATTGATTCTAGAGATAAAGCTATGGATCTAGATATTATGGAGGCTGAGGCAAGGATACGGTGAAGTGGGGCAGTATCCTAATTCAATGCGAACACCCCCCTCGCGCCGAGCGGGCTCTATAAGAGATAAGAAGCTTCCTAAGGCTATTTTTAATAGAAATGCGCCTCTCCTATTAGTCGAATCAATATATAGTTAGAACATTAATATTAAAGCGTATATAAAAGTATAAAAATGTTAGGTTTACTATAGAATAGATACCAGACCTAATTACTTTATAAATTGCTAAAAAGGGGTTATTAGAAGTAGTTTAGTGAGGCTATTAGTAGCCTACTCCGCGGTAGGGATATACTAAAAGAGATAATTATTAGATATAGCCTTCTCCTATATATAATAATATTTAATATTAATATATTTTGAGTGGGTAGTAAATTTATCCGATAATATAAGGGTAATAGTACCCTAATTATTCTTATAAATAATAGTTAGCCTTAGAATAAGGGCTTAATAGCCTAGTTCGGTAAGTACAAGTTAAATCTAGGATAGATCTTAGTAATAGAGATATACTATAACAAGCAGTTTAACCGCGCTACGCGCGGCCAGTTTGCTTTGCCATCCAGATAACCGCCCGAAAAAGCAGTTATCTGTCAGCTTTCCTTAATATAGGATATTAGGATATAACGAACCTATCAAAGTCTACCTAAGTCCCAAACAAAATCTTTGCAATATTATTATATATCTAACTTATCGCAAAACACAGCAGAGTGATATTTACCTATCTAAGATATTAGCTAGTTGTCTATCTCTCGCACTTCTCCCCTGTTTCCGCAGAGGTGAGGCTATCTGGCTTAAATCTATTAAAATAATAGAGTATTAGAAAGGTCATTCTTTATTTAGAGGTATCTGAGTAATATTTAGGTGTCCTTTAGCGCTCGGAATAATTAATACCCTTACCCTTAGAAAAAAGAAGCGCGGTCTCTAGAGCTAGCCTTATATCTTTCTATACCTTTATCTTCTCCTTTCTCTGGCTCTTCTTCTTAGGCTCTTAGGTAAAAGATCTAAGGTCTGTTAGCGGTCGCTTATTAGTAGTAGATATAGAGATCCCTATATATAAGATAGTAATAGTTAATAGATAGTGCTATATTATGAATTATAGAGTTTATATACCTTATTCTCTACTAAATATACCTTATGTATTAAAGCTATAGATACTACGCTAGTAGCGAGAGGAGAGTAAAACTTCCTAGGTAGCGATATAAACCTAATATAAAGAAGATCCTAAGGCTATATCGCTAAAGGTACGTATATATTACTTATTAATAGGGGTAGCTTATCGTAGCGCGGTAGCAGAATTATCCCACTTTAAGAATAGAAATAACATATTTATAAGAGTAATATAAGCGAGCTCCTTCGCCTAAAAAGAGTAAAAGCTAAGAAGATAATTAAAGACTTAAATAGTTCGGCTATTTATTACCTTAAGCTTCCCCTAATAGGGACTTAGGCGGACTTTAACTATTAGATCGAAAGTTATAAAGCTAATATCTTAGTCACTAATATATAAATAGTATATAGTGACCTAAACGCAGAATATATAATACCTATGAGGATTAATATATTAGTTAGTGATAAGCCTAATTACGCTTAGCTTTGGGTTCCCGATAATAGGTATATTATCTTAGTAATCCTTATTATTAGGGTCTTTAGGAATACTACGTTAAGAGTTAGTATATAGTATAAAGGTATTAGGCTTTAGAAACTCTCACTTACGGTGATAGAAGGTCTAGCTTAAGCTAAAGGAGAGGGTACTCGTTATCCGAATTATATATTATAGTAAGGGTACTATCGGCTATAATATAATATTATACTTTAATATCTGTCTGGAACTTATTATAGTAAGAGATAATACAGCGAATCTTATTAGGGATAATTAAGCTATTAAGCTTCGAAAGATCGGGACTATCGCTATAAGCCTTTATACTTAGCGTAGTCTATAGCTTTATGACTAAGGGTATATTTATTAGAATAAGAAGACTACTTTACTTATATGGGGTATTATTAGTATTCGACAAAGAGGATATTTTAATAGGGGGAGATAGTTAAGGAAAGAAGATAATAAGAAGGGAAGGAAAAAGATAGGGCGCGGCTACTCTTAAATAACGTATTAAACACTACAAAGATCACTAAGATTATATATACTATATATATAGGGACCTCCCTCTAATAGCGTAATAAGCGAGGGTGAGCTTATATAGTCTATCGCGCTCTGATACCGCACTATATATTACCTAGCCCTAAGAACTTAGGGGCAAAGTTAGGTACTTAGGCCTCCCCTAAAGTAAGTAATAAAAGGCCAAAAAATATTTAAATTATTGCTATCTATATATTTAGCTAAAGGGCCTTAGCACCTCCGGTTAAACTATATTCGCTATCCTTTAGTTAATATTAGATTTATTATATAATATACTTATATTCCTTATATTAGTAGTTCTAGAGAAGGCTATATAGAGCTATCTATAGCAGAAAACCTATGCCCGAAGATTAATTATAATATATTAGAGAGACTACCCTTACGCCTTATTCATAGTAAGAGCGTAGGCGAGCCTCACTAGGAATTAGCGATATTTTAAAGTAAAAGTACTGGAATATAGACCAATGCTACATAGAAAGATCTATCCTTATATTCAACATATGAGATCAGCATTGCATTGATCACGTGACCAGGTTTTTCTTCTATCAAAATGATATTTTGACCACTTCTGATTCTGGTCCGCGGCCCTCCCCGAACGATAGGCGGGACCATTTTCTTTTAGGGGTAAATGGTCCGCCTTCAGGCATGAATGGTCCGTTCCTTCGGGGGTGCTTTCGGGCATGTCTTGCCCGCGGACTTCAACCATGGTCTTCGGACCCCGGTGAACAGACTTCGACCCTCGGTCCCCTTAAGGATAGGCGGACCACTTTCCCTTAGGGGTAAAATGGTCCACGTTTAGGCATGCATAACCAGATCCTGCGGGGAAGCTTTCGGGGTGGCTGAAACCGTCGATCCTTGACATCATTCTTTTGGCTTTTCTTCGGTTCCCTTCTTTGCCACCTTTATTATGTTGCTGCCTAGTATTTGTATGTCATTCTAGACGTCATTTCTAGGCTATCCTAGCCTATAAATATGTCCCTCCTTTCTAGCAGAAAGAATGAAGTCAGTTCTACTTTCCTGAAGTCATTTTCCACTTTCCAAAGTTATCTCTACCTTCTTCCTTTGATCCTCAGGACTGTGGTTCTGCCTTCGTTTAGGCTATATCTGCTTATAGTCTATCCTACGACCTTTGACCTTCCACCTTTGTCTGGCACCGACTGACCCAGCCGGACTAAGGTTGATCCCACGGACTTAAGGGGCCACGATCTGCTTCGTGGTAGCTTTCCCCTTATATCCCAACAAAAAGGCAGATCACTCTTATTTAATAATAAGTCGTATTAATAGATTAGACGGTAAGGATCCTTAAGTCTAGGATCCGTAAGCTTTATCTCTAAGATATATATTATAAACCGTATTATAGTGGCCTAAGTACTATTATAAATACTATTAGCCGTATTAATATTTCGAATTATAATAATTAGCGTATCGCGCTTTAACCGTAGATACGAAATAGGTAGGCCACTAAGGTTTACGCTATTTATAAATTCTGGAGACACTTCTTTAATAGGTGTTGGACTAAAAGGGTAAAGCTACCACGAAGCAGATCGTGGCCCCTTAAGTCCGTGGGATCAACCTTAGTCCGACTAGGTCAGTCGGTGCCAGACAAAGGTAGAAGGTCAAAGGTCGTAGGATAGACTATAAGCAGATATAGCCTAAACGAAGGCAGAACCACAGTCCTGAGGATCAAAGGAAGAAGGTAGAGATGACTTTGGAAAGTGGAAAATGACTTGAGGAAAGTAGAACTGACTTCAGGAAAGTAGAACTGACTTGATTCTATCTGCTAGACAAGAAGGACGTATTTATAGGCTAGGATAGCCTAGAAATGACGTCTAGAATAACATACAAATGACGTACAAACACTAGGCAGCAACATAATGAAGGTGGCAAAGAGGGGAACCGAAGAGAAGCGAAAAGAATGATGTCAAGGATCGACGGTCTAAGCCACCCCAAAAGCACCCCCGCAGGATCAGGCTATGCATGCCTAAACGTGGACCATTTTACCCCTAAGGGAAAGTGGTCCGCCTATCCTTAAGGGGACCGAGGGTCGAAGTCTGTTCACCGGGGTCCGAAGACCATAGTCGAAGTCCGCGGGCAAAGCATGCCCGAAAACACCCCCGAAGGAACGGACCATTCATGCCTGAAGGCGAACCATTTACCCCTAAAGGAAAATGGTCCCGCCTATCGTTCGGGGGAGGGCCGCGGACCAGAATCAGAAGTGGTCAAAACATCATTTTGATAAAAGAAAAATCTGGTCACGTGATCAATGCAATCTGGTCTTATATGTTGAATATAAGGATAGATCTTTCTATGTAGCATGGGTCTATATTCCAATAATAGGTATAGGCGGACTATCTTTATATACGCACTAATTATACGAGTGGAGTGTCTCCGCGGTTCTTAGTATTCGATTAAGTAATATATTATTTAGTTCGTATATAACCTAATTATAGGCTATAAGAATTACCCGGCTATTAAAGATACTAAGATCTATAGGAGCTTATTAAAGGAGCTCTAGGGGGTAGATCCTCCGTAAAAAAGGCTCTAAATATAGTATTTGCTATAAACCTTATAGTAACTTAATAGCTTAGCCTTAAAGATCTTTATTAAATAATATCTCCTAAAGCTATATAGTAAGAGGCCGGTTATCCTCTAATATACCATTAAGTTATAT